GTGGTGGGGGGGGGGGGGCTGGAATTATGCGGCATAACTCTTTGAGGCGTGGATTGATGTTCATAATTTTGGCATGCAGGTCACCGTAGGATAGAGAATGGTCAGGGTCGAAAATGATTTTCGTGGGGGATTCCTATGTCACTGCAGTGGACCTTTTGTGTCTGTGGCTTTTCTTGTTCAGATATGAGGTGCATTGAGACTTTTAAGTTGCATTCTGACCGTAAGTAAAAGAACACATTTGACATGTTTACACATTGTTATTGTAGTGTGCTCACTGGGTGAGTTCGGGCCCGACTGTACCCGCACCTGTCGCTGTGCCAGCGGACCTTCCGTGTGTAACGACGTGACTGGAATCTGTTCTAGTGGAGGGTGTGAGGCCGGGTGGAAAGGAAGTAATTGTCAGACAGGTAAGTTAGACGTGTGGTGTTGTTCTTTGTATTGAAATATCTTTTTATCGTATTTCCTCATTGTTTTCTTTTGTCATTTACTTAATAGTTCACCACAAAACAAGGCTCATGGGAACCACTTAAATGTTTTGGGTAACTGTACAGCCAGTGAGGACAGATGTTTGTTGACCTTAGACTTAAAAAGTTTAAGGTTGAACCCATGTGGGAAACAATCCCGTGAAAGCTTGTTCCATGGTGATGTTGTTCTAGGAAAGAAGCTTTCAGCGTGGAACTTCCTCCTAAGAGGTGGTGTATGGATCGAGGAAGAAAGGGTGATTTGCTTCGGTGTTTACCTTGTATTGTCTACTCCCGGTGAGTTGGAACCAGGCTACTTGTCACTGTCATTTGAATCCTACCTTTACGTTAATGACATAAGTCTGCCGGTAATTTTCAGAATGTCCAGACGGCATGTACGGACCTGACTGCACCCAAACCTGTCACTGTGCAGACGGACCAGCTGCCTGTGACAAGGCGACTGGAGCCTGTACTGGGGTTTGTGTGGACTTCTGGACTGGAGACTCATGTGAAATCCGCACAGGTATTGCACTTACTATTGTTGCTCTGTAGAGTTTAAGATAGATAGTGTTTTTATGAACGTTTATGGTTACATTATGAAATCGCAAGTCCTGTCATTGCATTTTGATGCTATTACCTTGGTCCTTGCTTTTAAACCATTCTAACTTTTTTGCTTCAGCGACTGTCTCGTACGAGCATCTTTTCACCAAGGAGGAAGGTCGCTTCTTCGGACATTCTCCTGATAGCATAGCAGCGTACAACGACGTAGACGCCGAGGAGTGTGCCCGCCGCTGTCTGAAAGGTTACGGCAGTTACGACGGCGTCACCCCGACATGTCTGTCCTTCAACCATCGCCCCGCGGGGTCACCAGAGGGCGGCAGTGCACGGTGTTGGCTGAGCAGTAGTGACAAGAACACATCGGCGTCTCCTGGTCCGGAGTGGGACAGTTGGCCTTATAGAAACTACTACCAACGGAAACGTATGTAAATCATACCTCTGAAGTCTATGTAATAACATATGATTATTATCTAATCTATCATTATATCTGTATGTCTATCTCTATTTTTTGTCCTGTCCACTGTTTTTTTGCTTGATGATACAAAAATGTTTTGTTTTTATATTTAGTAAGCATTTAGTATGCGTTGCTTTCAGATGATCACCTATGGCAGGTGTATTGATGTGCTTGATAAACATTTATCACTGACGATGAACCGTATATCATTGTTTTCAAAATGAGTCCTGTATGTCATCCTAATTGTCTATTCTATATAGACATCTTGGCGCCCCAAGACTGTACTGACGTGTTCGCCCTTGGGATTCAGTACAGCCATGTGTACTTTATGGGCCACCCCCAACCGTTCCAAACCTACTGTGACATGGAAACTGATGGCGGCGGGTGGACGGTCATACAGCGGCGTCAGGACGGGTCCGTGCCGTTTGACAGGACCTGGACTGAGTACGAGCAGGACTTCGGCAGTCCTAGTGGAGAATACTGGCTGGGATTGGGCAACATCCACAGTCTGACAACACAGAAACAAAACGAACTGTACGTGTACTTGGAAGACTGGGAAACGAACAGCCGGTTTGCGCGGTACAGCATGTTTTCTGTAGGAGATGCCAGCAGCAAGTACACGGCAACGATCGACGGGTACAGCGGGGATGCTACTGATAGTCTGGACCCGTCCACTACACGTCACAGCATCAACAACAGACAATTTTCTACAACAGACCGGAATAATGCTGGTGCCACTGTCAACTGTGCGGTTACATTCGGGCAAGGAGGCTGGTGGTACACACCAAGTTGTGGATACGGCATGTTGAACGGACAGTATCTGACCGGCTGTTCAGTACCTGCCCCACCCTCTTGCTCTACTGCAGATGGAATCGTCTGGTACACTTGGTTGGGTTACGAATATTCCTTGAAGAAATCAGTCATGATGATCAGGCCTGCCGACTTTCCAGGTATGTGTGAATATTGTGATTTCCGAAAATTTATGTCATACCAAAGTTCCTATTGGTACGGGAAGGAATGTGAAAGCGAAATAATACATCTTTGCACTACCTCGTGTCTGCTAAGTTTAAAACAATATGGTAATTACAATACTAAGTGCACCATTCTACTTCTTTTCCGAAGCGTCATCATTCAAACCGTGCCAGAATGGGGGGACCCTGAAATCAGGACCGGAAGATTCCGGACTGTACATCTGCGCATGTGCTGACGGTTATTACGGCCGTTACTGTGGGGAAAGGTGTGGAAACTGTATGGCAGGGACAGTCTGTGAGAAAACGGACGGCAGGTGTCCAGGATGTGAGGACCCTTGGGCCGGAGACACCTGTAAAATGAGTATGTAAACATGCATTTTGCATTGTTAAATTATGGTAATCAGATATGTTACGTACACGGTTGTTCATTCAAGGTTGACCAGTCGTTTCTTTATTCCCTCATGACAATTCTGTTTTTATCAGTGCACTGGATATTGTTGGTGTAAGGCATCATTAGCACTAGCATAGGCACTTTGACTTATACCTACACCATTTCAGTACCTGCAACAGTGTCACACGATCCGGACAGCCTCACAGTAGTTGTTGATGATGAAGTAACGTTCAACTGTACCGGTCGCGGTGTTCCGGCCCCTACCGTCACCTGGCATCACGATGCCGAAGTCATCACACCTGGAGCCGGGATCAGTATAGTCGATACAGACGGAGGTCTGGTGGGAGAACAAAATGTGACAAACAGCACCTTAACCATAACGTCAGCACGTCGACAAGATAACGGACAGTACGTCTGTATCTCGTCTAACGTGGCGGGGAACGAAACGTCACAAGCAGCTACACTTGAGGTGCAAGGTACGGAAACTGTTAGCGTAATGTTACATCTGTTTGTCTGAGAATCTTGCACAATGATGAAAGCCTTTAAATTGAATTAATATGTACCGTGCATTTTTCCTACTGACGTGTGTAAAAAAAACTACATTTTCTTTCTGTCTATAAATTTTGCAGAACGTCCTGATGACGTTACAGTGAACGTCACCGCAGTAAACTCCACAGCCCTGCACGTCACGTGGGCAGTAGGAGTAACCGGTAACCTCGACATCATCGACTCCCAGGTACGCTACAAACGGAGCGGCACGGAGGACTGGGCAGACTGGGCGTCAACTGGAGTTTCCGATGTGAACGGCGAGGTCTACATCATTGACTTACGTCCGGCTGTCGAGTATGATGTTGAGGTGCGGGCAAACAACTTCCTGGGATGGAGCACTCCTGGCAATGGGATGGGAACAACAGACGACGCACGTGAGAGATTTTGTTATCTTTGTCAGCTCTTTATGGTGCTTCTGTTGATCCTTCAAGATTACCGATTACGGCACATAGTGCAATCTTGAAATGTAGTTAGCTTTACCGCCTCTATCGGCTTGATTTACAGCTCCGAGTCCTCCTCACAACTTGCAAGCCTCACCAAACTCCCACAACTTGGTCAACCTGACGTGGGAACCTCCGATGGAACCCAACGGTGAGATCCTCAGCTACACAGTCCAATACGGACCGTCCGAGTCGTGCAGTGAAGCTTCATTTCCCCATCAAGTTACCACGTCAGACGGCAGCACCACTACCGTTATCGGAGACCTGGTTCCGTACACAAACTACACATTCCGGGTGCGGGGGGCAACAAGTGCAGGAGGAGGAGACTTCAGCAACTGTAGCATCACAAGGACACTGGAATATTGTGAGTAATGCACTAAACATGATATGAATAGCTTCTGTAGCATGTTGAAGAGACTAAAGTGTTAGCATGGAAAATATTTCAGTGCTATGTGGGTTATAGTATTCAGGAACAGTCTAGGATGTAAACATTACTGTGAGAGATTCTCAACATACGATCAGAGTCCACAAAAGCTATACATTATCTACATCATACATTCTTACCTACCCATGACTCTCAGACCCAACAGCCCCAGTTGTCCAGACGTTTGCAGACCAGCACGACTGTAACTGCCGGACGCCAAACCTCCCCCGGCCGGTCCAGCTGCGTGTAGCCTGGCGGCGCCCTGACCACATCCACGGTCAGCTGCAGGCGTACCGAATCAGCCTGTACAACAGGACCGGCGGGGAACCGTTCTACCAGGAGAACATGACGTCAGGACTGCAGCAGGAGAACCTGACAGCTGTGATTACATCGTCACTCCTGCAGCCTGCCAACAACTACTCTGTCACTGTGAGTCTGCAACATCTCGTTGTAATCTTTCACATATTACATATTTTCTGTAACAGATCTATACGTCTATATGATATGAGAAAGGTGCTCAGTGCTCTTGATTGATAATATAAGGATGCATTATTAGCATCATTGAGTTTATGGAATAGGTAATATAATGAGTCAATGTTGTCTGTTTTGCATCATTTTTACCTGACAGGTATCAGCCATTAACACCTTTTACCATGGGAGCGAGAGCCATCCATATATGGTCCGTACGAGTGACGGATGTAAGTATAAATTTTCAAATCAAAACAATGTCCAAGTTACGTCTAGTACCACCAGATCCTGCTCATTAAATTGTAATCACAAATGTTATCCACTACCAGATACGGAATGTTTGAATTTCGCATATCTATATGACGCCATATTGCGACTTATTAAGAAAATCATCAATAATTTCTCTTAATCGTTAGGCCCAGATGCCCCAACTGTGACAGAATTGGCAAACAGTGAATGTGGAGTAAACTGGACAGCTCCTACAGTAACCAAGGGAAGGCTGACAGGGTACAATGTAGGTACAGTCATTGTGTCATTGACCTGAAGCATCTACGTTTTGTGATAACATTTAATCCCAGAAGTTTTTGTTGTTGTGAACTATAGCTAGACCAGTTGTAAACTAACAATGGATATGGCACACAGGTCACATATGTAGACACGCCACTTCATAACCCGGACGAGTCTGAACCAGGCATCAGCCGTGACCCGTTAGGTTTGGATGAACATGAGTGGTCCAAGTCACTGGCTGAGCTTCGCGCCAACTCCTTGGTCCGAGTCACGGTCCGGGCGGTAACCTGTGCCGAGGGAGACAAGGGGGAGGAGTTCACTTGTCAAGTATCAAGAGTTGGTGAGAATTGGTCATATTACTACTTATAGTCTGAAAACAATCAATGTGTTGGGTTTATTGAAACACCTCAGTTCCTGGTAACTCCCAAAATGCTATAGCACCATCATCACCATCTTTCGCCGAAGTAACGATATTTATTTACTATATAGAACCACCGCCGCCTATAGAACTCCCTACCGGCCCGCTCCCTACCGGCCCACCCCCGACAACATCTTTTCCCATGCTCCTTCCAAAAGTGAGCGAGAGGAATGGTCCAGTACGGTACGTGTGTCTTTTGTTATCACTTGGGAACATTTGATGATTCAAACACATTGTCGATTTTTTTCAATCTATACTTAATGCACATTCTTTACCTCTTTTCACGCTGACGGAGGTAATGTTTTTACGTATAATTCACCAACCATCCTCTGCAGTTGTTGCCAAATCATCGTCATCATAATGAGAGAAAAAGAGAGTCTTGCTGACCTGAAAATAAGAGTTGGAGAACCAGACGTCATGCTTACAGATGAAGCCCCTGATGGCGGGAAAACTGAACCTTACGTGGCGTTATCACTCTCATCGTAAGCTTGTTTCCTAGATTTTTGCCATGTTTGTATGGATTCGGTTCTTATCCGTGACCCCTCCCCTCAACTTCGACCTTGTTGAAAAGCGGCCTTGCGCCGAACAAGCATTCGAAGGAAAATAAAGGCTTTGACTTGACTTGACTATATTGTAGCTTGCAACTACCAGAACATTCCAGATTGGACAGAACACAACATATAGAGTCATTTGGTAACATGGTAACATGGTACGCAACATGATGTAAAATGTGTATCGTAATCACAGGATTTTCAGTATGCTCTATTGAAAGGTCTAGAATTATACACAGTCAAGTGTATATTTTCAGGCATCTTACTCAACGACATGCGACAGTTCCACAAAAAATAATTGTGGAACAAATATGTGTATCATGTGTATTATTTGATTGTTGTAATTGTTGTGATTTGTATTGATTATTATGTGATACCCTGCATCAATTCAGCCGTATGAAGGCTGCGACTGCACGGGTACTGTTTGGACAATAAAAAAAAAAAAAAAAAACCATCAACATCTCAGTGCAGCTAAAAAATTTTCAAAGAGAATTTTACAAAGAGCTTAGAGTACATTGCCCATACATACATTTGTAACATTTTCTCTGTACATTCTTCCACTAGAGAGGATTACAAGAGAACCGATGTAGTGGAGATTGGTGTTGGGGGACCCTGTGGTGACGATCGCGAGTGGTGCTGTAAGCGGAGTGAACTCGCCGATCCCAGTCTCGCAAAGACTCCCGGCAATAAGAAGCTACAGTCAGGCAGCAAGTACACAGCAGCAGTACGGTGTTACGTGGACTCTGGAGCCAAGAGACGCAAGCGGAACACGGACACAGAAAAGGTACTCACGACAACTTTCCTTTGAATCCATTTTTACAGGCAGTTGACTACTACTAGTTAGTTATATGATCAAGTTGAAGTTTATGCTTCATACACATTTTCATTGTAGGTAAATATTTATCTCATGTCCTTGTATTAGAATCATACGCCATACAAAAGAAAGAAAAAGCAGGATGCATATCTAGTGACATTATTTGATATAATCATATGATTAATGCTTACTTACTTGAAGGTTATACTTTCCTTTTTCAGTTATTCACTACAAGTGGATACATAGATCCTGTGGAAACTGTAGTTGAAGGTATGTAACTTTTTAACATTGCGATAACGTTTATGCTGTTTTACTATAAAATATATCGAGTAATTTCATTACAATGCTAACACGGGAGAGAAAGAACAAATATTTCGGCATCCTGTATAGCCAAGTTTTACAGGACTCTAAATTATGTTTCCTACTAGTTGTGGAAAACGTTTTCGCCCCCATGGTTGCTGGAGTGGCAGTCGGCGTCTGTCTGGTCGGTCTGGTCGCAGTGTCCCTCTACTTCTACAGGTAAGATGCACATGAAACTAGCAGTGATAGGATCTATCTTTATTGGTATCCATACTATCATCATAAAACTAGTCACTTTTGCAATATCATAGATAATGGTATATTATACTACTTTGTAACTTAAGATGTAGTAGTAGTAGTAGTAGTAGTAGTAGACTGGTTTAATAGTTCTCAGCAAAACATATCATGCCTCCTGTATGCCATATTAAAGGGCTGAATTATGAGGATATTTACAAATGTATCAGTCTATAACATGATTATACATTAACAGTTGTCATCATTCAGCAAAGAACGATAAACTGTACTTAATATCAACATTAAAGATTCGAATAAAGTTTATTGTTTTACTATTAAAGATTCTAATGTATTCTTCAACGACTTCCTTTTCGTGAATAAAAGCACGGTAAATTGGACGAATTAGCACCACCTGCAATATGTTGCTGTGTGACAGGAAGTAACTAGATTGTTGGTCTAATGAGATGCCTTCGACAGGAGGCGAGCCGCTAGAAGGAAGGATGCTCCTGCAGACGTTTCTCTGGCGGACTTAAGTCGTATCCGTAAGAAGGGTAAAGACGCAGAGGAGGAGGATGATGAGCTGGAAGGAGCGGTCGGTCCTGGTGCGGATCACGTGGAGGAGGTCATCGTCAAACCGAAACGGAGATCTGGTCTGTCATCACACATGTTCTTGCTGCTTTAGATAGCAAAATGTCTGAAAGTGTTTATCAATAAATCCATCTACTTTTTTGGTAAATGGTAAAATTCCTTGGACACCATTGCAGATTAGGACTTATTGATGAATATTCATTTTCTATGTGAAATTCGTGACATCTCAACAGGAGAGAATCACACACGTTCTCGCAGCTTTCTACATCAAAATGTCTGGAAGTGTTTATCAATTGTTTCCATCTACTTTTTTGGTAAATGGTAAAATTGCTTGGACACCATTGCAGATCAGGACTTATTGATGAATATCCATTTTCTATGTGAAATTCGAGACATCTCAACAGGAGAGAAAGCAAGTGTTAGTCAACAGTTGGCTATGGTTATTTAGACGCTCTTTTAATTACCTTTACCTTTATCTAGTCCCATGTTTTTACCATGTCATGAATTGTTGTTTATGTAGGCAAGAAGACAAAGTCACAGACGCCCAACTTCCAAGAGCCGATCGCCCTGCCGGACCTGGAGGCTGAGTTTGACAGGAGGACCGCCAATGATAACCAGATATTCTCAGAGGAGTACTCGGTAAGCAGGTGACAACTCTAGTTTTCCTTGTATGAACTTCGAGGTACGTTGTATGTCCAAGTTCATTATTATTCCATAGAATTTTGAGGTCGATGTTTTCTATGTGAAGATTTCATTTTTGGTCTTCCAGTGATTGTGCCGCATCAAAACATTGGTCGTCGGTAATACTGTGCCCTTTCTGTCTTGACCCGACAAGAAGCCTACAAATGGTTCCAAGATACAGTAGTATTAATGTTTTTAGTGATACCTACCTTTTATTTTCGTAGGCTCTTCCCGGCACCCTGGGGAAAGAACACGCAGAAGCGTACTACAGCGATTTCAACACGGCAAAGAATAGGTTCAAGAACATCATCACCTGTAAGTTGTAAAATATCACTGAACACGTTTAGTCTCAATACATAAGTGAATCAAAGAAGATCAGCTGTTCTCCTTTTTCTATAATTTTGGTCTCAATTGTATGTGCTATTTCTATTGTCTGAAAATATTTTCCCTAGTTGACATACAAGACCGCCTTAACTAACCTTCTTCCAATTTTCTATAATCCCAAACTTTCCATCACTATCTCCAGATGACAGCGGACGTGTAAAGCTGGAACCCATCCCTGGTGTAGACGGGTCAGACTACATCAGCGCTTCATACATGGATGTATGTTAACAAGTTATGGTGTTGAATTTCATAAAGCATCGCTGTATTTCAAGTACAGTTTATTTTGAAAACATGATATTTTTTTACATTGCTGTTACTTACACAATGGTTACTTTTACGATATGCTTCATCGTAGTCTTTTCCTATACAATTTACTCTTCTAACGTCGTGTTGTGATATTGACAGGGATACCGAGTTCCACAGAAGTACATCGCGGCACAAGGTTAGTGATGGTATCTTATCATGTAGTACGGCGACTTACTTAGATGTACATTACGTCTCTTTATATCAGGTATGCTCTTTACTTCTGTTCGTTTAAACAAAAGTCTTGTCAACTACAGGTCCTATGCCGAACACAGTAGATGACTTCTGGCGGATGATTTGGGACACCAAGGCTAAGAACATCGTCATGGTTACCAATCTGAAGGAAAACAACAAGGTAAACACTAACAAGTCACTGTTGTTCAATTTGTCACTTATCGTCTCAAAACATTATAATTCTTATTTGTGGGATATATATGTTTGGATGTTTTAACTGTTTGCTACATTGATGTTCTCCACAGCAAAAGTGCACACAGTACTGGCCCGAGAGTGGCAAGAAGACTTACGGAGACATTGGCGTGACGCTGGTTGACACTATCCCCATGGTTGATCACGTAACACGGGTATTTCTGGTTGGGAAGGTAATCTTAACTTTTCTCTACAAAGAGCTGTGGTTAGCATCTTTTTCTAAAATCAAGCTAGTCTGAGACTCATTAGTAGTAACGTCTACCCGTACCTACAAAATATCAAGTGTTCGGATCTAGATCTTTGTCCGAATTACTGTGCATCTCATACTAAATCACATTCTAATTGCATATCTGTCTAGCTGTGTATGGCTAGTACAATAGCAATAATTCATCAAAGGATACTGCCAAGACCGCTTATTACAGGATCCCAGTAGTCAACTACTTGTGAACTGAATACAAATTTTCTCATTTTTCTTAACCTGTTGTCCCCTTGCGTTCTACAGGAAGGTGCCCGTGCCAACCGTCAGGTCACCCAGTTCCACTTCCTCGGCTGGCCGGACTATGGGCTGCCCAAGAGCCCCATGGGATTGCTGAAGTTCCGCAGGGCAGTGATTACCAAAGCGGCACCCAAGGACATTCCCATCGTCGTGCACTGCAGGTATGGTACAAACCCAAATGTACTCATTATCATTATGTCAGACTTAATGGAGCAAACTCTCGGGAAATGACATCTCTGCATCCAGAGTTAGGATAGGAATGCCCTTATATATAATCACGCAGGGATAGATGCAGTTATCATATATTGAAGTGACGACATTTTAGATGATTCCAATTACAAAACATTATCAATCTTTGGTGAAATACAGCTCAAGAGTACATTGCCATCCTTGTCTATATCATTTTGGTAGCTGCAGAATATGATATAAATCAACTGATATTTTATCATTTTCTTTGTTTTTGTTTTATTTTCTTTGTACTTGCTTTCATTGAATTAGGTAAATAATAAAATTACATCACTTTTCTACAGTGCCGGTGTTGGCCGCACGGGGACGTTGCTGACGGTAGACGCCATGTTGGAGATGATGCAGGCTGAAGAGAAAGTGGACGTGTTCGGGTTTGTCTCCAGGATGCGGCAGAACAGGAGCACCATGGTCCAGACAAAGGTAGGAATACACAGAGTGACTCTTCATATTCATCGAAATTAAGTTACAACAACGGCCCATTCCCACTAGGATAAAAGATGCCATAAAATTGTCCCCATCAAGCCAAATTGATTGGCTTTGATCGGCCTTCGAGCCGGCTGCGAGCTGGATCGAGCCGGCTCCGAACCGGATCGAAGCCGGATCAAAGCGAATCAATTAATTTGGCTTGATCCGGACAATTTTACCCCAGTGGGAAAGGGGCCAAAGTACCATCGCCTCCAGGCTTTCTCCAGTAGAGAAGATATTTGGCGATGGGCCTAACAGGGTTCCAAATGGCTTCCCAAATGGCACACCATGGAAGCACACTTTCATGACTATAGACAGAAAGATATCTATCATCATAAGTGGATCATGAAAAGTTCACAGCTTTCACGACAAGAATAGAGTTCACATATTACCCATGATTTAGCCATACATTCAACATCGATCATTTAAACCACCAGGCCCAGTACGTGTTCATCTACCGGGCCCTCCTGGAACAGTACCTGTACGGAGACACGGAGGTGGAAGTGGCGAACATCCACCACTACATGCACAAACTCAGGACCGAGCAGCCGGGCAAGGACAAGACGGGCTTCGAGATAGAGTTCGGGGTTAGTGGTCAACTTTCAATTTAAAAGTATTTGAACGATCAGGAATTGATGAAGACTTAATACCTAATTAGGTACCATGCCAATTCATGCCCGAGGGCTAATTGCAAGAACATGATAACAAATAAAGAGTAAAAATGATAATAAGAAATGCTAATGCTACTTTGGATATAGTTATTGATGGGTTTGATTTCTTTTCTTTGTGCAGTGGAGTATGAAATGGCCGACATTGGCCGAAATGGCCGAGATGTATGACTTGGAGAGTGTTAGTAGAAATACAGTTTTTGTAGGCTGGGAAGGTGAATAAAGCTAGGGAACATAATATAACATAATTTGTTTTCCTGGTTCCACAGAACCTGACCCGCCTGCCCGTGGATCGTGCGAACATGCGCGGAGGTAACCTGCCGGAGAACATCTCCAAAAACAGAGTCCTGCAGATTCTGCCGTGTGAGTTCAGAAGTTGATATATAATATAATAATGCATACAATCAACAGTATAGTGTATAATTAACAGTAGCATTAATTAGTTAACGTCCATGGCCAAGACACGTCTAGCTTGCTACGGTACAGATTTGGGAAGTATTTTGGAGGGCTGGATTTGTTTTATTCAATATTCGACATCATACATATTATGATGATTTATGGTCAACAATAGTTTGATATAATTAAGCAAAGTAGTTTCGAATACCTACATATCATCTGGAATAAGCGAGCTTTTCTTTTTTCCAGACGATACCAACCGGGTGTTCCTGCAGCACAAACCAGGCGTGAAGGGTTCTGACTACATCAACGCGTCTTTCATTGACGTAAGTTACGGGAATCTTTATCCCATGTTATGTTCTTAAACCTACTTAGCAGATTGGGGCAAGATCTAAAAGTTCTGTCTTACATACCCGGAAATACAGATACGTACGCGTACACACCTACATAGCTTTTGCAGGCCACAATCTTCAAGCAGTATCATTATGATGAGAGCAAATAAAAGCTTATAACCTGTCTTCTTTCAGGGCTACCGTGAGAAAGACGTCTACATCGCTACCCAGGGCCCGCTGGCCCAGACTGTGGAGGACTTCTGGAGGATGGTGTGGGAGTGGAACTCCTGCTCTATCGTCATGCTGACGGAGCTCAAGGAGAAAGGACGAGTAAGGCTTACATCTGTCACACTATTCACATCCATGTACCTGTACCAATCTTGAAAATTATCTGTATCGGTATAGCCGATATAACCGCCCTTCGGCGGAACACACCAGCTTCGCCGGTACATATGCGGCGTGGTGGCAGCTAGCTGTATTACACCGAACGACTTGTTACACCCAATCTTCTGGACATTTCATTGCAGGAGTTGTTTAAAGCTTTCTAGTGATGATGCCCCAACTGTGCTTGGTGGCAACGAGTTCCACTATACGAAAATACGGGCAACTATAATTGCAAAGTGTCACTAATCTTACAAAAGATTAGCAAGTTATACAGGCGGTTATACCGGCTATACAGATACAGATACAGGTTCAAGGGTTAGGTGTAACAAGTCGATCGGTGTAATATAGCCAGCTGCCGCCGCGCCGCGTGCCTGCGAAGCTGGTGTGTTACACCGAAAGGCGGTTATACAGATACAATTCATTCAGGATTGTTTGATAATGATAATGATATATTTTATATATATTCTGTTCACAGAACGAATGTAGCCTCTACTGGCCGGAGACAGGACAGACCACCTTCGGAGAAGTGGTGGTTTCAGCGCAGGGCGTGGATACGTTCGGTGACTACGATCTGCGTACATTCACTGTAACACATGCAAAGGTATGCCATAAGGTACTCGTTATTACCTTCGCCAAGAAGGAATATGTTTTCCGTAGCGTTTGTGTGTATGTATGTGGTTTAGCACGAAAACTCAAGAAGCTTTAGATGGATTGCATGAACGTTGGTACAAATGTAGATGGCTAAGTCTTGACAAGAACTAGAAATGATTAGATTCTGGGCCCCCTAACGGCTTGTTATGGTACTGCAACGGAACTTCCGGTTTCGATATCTCGCGATTTGGACATGCTAGGGTCACGACTTTTGTGTGGTAGATAGCTCTTGTGCTCGGGAAGACCAGGCCTGGGGAAGACGGGACATTAGTTTGGTCCCCCTAGCGGCTTGTTAGGAAATGTAATTCAGTAGCCATTGATTTCTTTTCAGAAGTTAACGTTAAGATTCTCTTGGATTGCATGATGCATTCCTGTACATTGTCTGTTCAATCATTCAGTCACTGTTGTTTGTCATAGCAGGAAGGCAAAGCCCGCACGGTGCAGCAGTTCCACTTCCACGGCTGGCCGGAAGTCGGTAGCCCTGACAACGCCTCCGGGATGATCGATCTGATTGGTCAGGTCCAGAAGCAGCAGCAGCAGTCTGGGAACGGACCAATCACCGTGCACTGCAGGTTAGAGTTAGTTACAATGTAAAGGGCACATTTCTTTTTTTTTTTTTCAAAACTCTCTGGTGCACAAGATTAAGTTACCTTCATACAAAACCTTCCATAATCGTTGATAAAAAATGATATCAGAAGGTGATAGAGAATACCAGGTGATGGAAAATAGTTGATGTAAAGATTATAATTTCGTTCACATATTGTTCAACACTTTGAACTTGGCATGTTTCCTGCAGTACTGGGTCTGGCCGCACGGGGACGTTCTGTGCCATCAGCACGGTGCTGGAACGGGTAAAAGCAGAAGGGATCTGTGACGTGTTCCAAGTCGTCAAGGCGCTCCGGCTGCAGCGGCCTCACATGGTGCAGACATTGGTGAGTACTGTCTCAGTCAACGTGTACCTTATCGGGCCCTCTTGAGATTTTTCAATCTGTTAGTTACCAAAAGTTACATGTAAGAAAACGTATATATTAACTAGAAAGGTAACGTTAACATTTGCAAAGAAAATGCATAAGGTTTACCTTCGCATATGGTCTGCTCTGTTAATTCTTACTCAACACACATTCATATATATATAGTCAGACAGGAGTCTAAATCCCTCCTGCTATAAAATTGCAACACGATGTATCCCAACACTTTGGTGACAGACGTCTGGTTCAGGTCATTGACTTTTAATTTGTTTGGAGAAGAAGAGGAAGAAGAAACAGAGCAAAACAATATGATTCCTTTCAAATCGGTAAACATAGTGACTCAAAATATTTCAGTTACATTGTAAGGTCAGAGCCAAACTATGAAGAAGCTCTGTTGACAGTGAGAAGACGAAAACTAATGTGAGCCATGTTGTTTCATCCCCAGGACCAGTACCAGTTCTGTTACCAGGCGGTTTTGGAGTATCTGGACAGCTTTGATCATTACGCCAACTTCCGCTAGAGGGCGGTGCCAGTTCAATCACGTGTCGAAAGTTTTTTGTTTTACAACTGTAACCAATGAACCATTTTGTTGAAAGAATACCCATGGCTTAAGTAAGCTTTTTGTCTACATGCAATCTCAAAGGATGTTAATTTGATACTGTTCAAATGTTTGTAAATCTTGAGACTTTTGAGCAGAGTTTCCTCGCTAATTTGTTGTTACTTTTAACGTTTTTAAAGTGTTCTATAGGAAATGTTTCGTCATGTACTTGGAGGTATTACAGTGAATTGATGCAATTATTAATATTTGAATTTCTTAATTTAGAAGACAATCAGTTTAGTTTGTATCTGAGATGTAACAAGACAATCAAGTTAAGATAACCAGGCAAAAAAAGTAATTGTACTAACGCATATATCAGGATGTTTGTTTAAAATTACTAATAATGTCGCAAGTTTTGTGCAATATAGTCCAGAGTTAAAATGTCGCTATGCAGGACACCTGACTAAACTGATACTTCTCACGTAAGATTATGTCAATGCAACTAACATATGGACTTTCCATGTAGACGACAATAATAATGTTTGAAATTACTACTAGGATTTAACTTGCTATACCAGATATTTGTCAAGTAGCCAGGATCAGTTATGGAAGCATTTATTTCGGTAAGAACATAGACCACCCATGTAAACATGTAAGCATTTTATTAGAATTTCTAGAAATGCCTCAGAAAATCTAAGAAATTACGTAAAAGAGCAGTTAATAACAGACTTTCATAATCAAGTTGTAGTTTGCTTTGTACATGTATACCTTTATCACTGAAATGCTTTCGAAAGTCCTATGTCAGATCTCCTTTTTACTCTTGTGAGGGAGCTATATTTTGGTTACCCCAAATGAGGGTTTGCACTACGTGACACGTGTGCAAACCGACGTGAAATGAGTAAGCTCACGTCGTGCAAACCCTCATATTCGGGTCCCAGTATATACCTGTGTGAGGCTTACAGACCAAGAAAAATCCGTACCAATGCACATAAGGAGCCAAAACTGCACACAAAGATATGCTAATATAACGGAGCGATCATCTTTTTGTTCAAAAATATGTCAATATGTATATGTGAGCTTTTCTACAATCTTTGGCTATCTGAACCTACGAAAATCTGTTACAAAGGAGACATTGATTTTCTCTATTAAACATTTCTTGATATCACCACGTATCATCTTTATATAAAAAAAAGATGTAAGTCGAAAATGATATACACAAATGTAAATTTTCATCGTTGAATGCTGCTTTTTCTTTTACAATTTATGACCATTCAAAAGGACGAAACCCTGTAAGAATCTTAGGGATCAACAGTTAAACTTTGGTGACAAAATTGAGATAATCTGTAATAATAAGCAGATCTTTTAGAGGCTACAAGATAGTATGAATTTGGCCGCAGAGGAAAAAGGTGTGTAGCTTACTATACACTGTATATTCTGATAAATTTTGAATGCACAAAACAACAGTTACTCAAGCAACTGGATAGGTTTTGAAAACAGACGTTTCAAGCTACAACATGTAAGCATCCACTCCTTTTTGTCAGTGACTAACAGAATCTGTATACACATGTAGGTATTTATCCAAAAAAGTATAAATTGATATGTAAATGAATTAAACACAAATTCTAAATGATACATGTACATGTACAGTCATACCACTTACATATTGTGCCGAAGTATATCAAAACGACAAGTTGAATTTTTGGGATAAAAGCTACAGCGTTTTGCTACATATCTTCCACGCTCCATTTGTACGCCTCGTCCTTTACTGCTCTCTTATTGGCCTGCGCCTGGAAGAATCGTTTCTCAAAGCCGTTGGATCGATCCACTCCATCCCACCTGTACCCAGGCCACAGGTTAAACCTGTTTGGAGGAGGGGCAGGGCCAGCGTACCGCGGGCGCTCTGGACAGAGAAAAGGAAATTTAATGAATGAGTGAAAAAGCAAAGAAAAGGTAGTCAAAAGCATGGTTTCAACTACTTCAATTAGGAATTAATGTACCAATGAAATTTATCTAAGCTTTTATAGGAAAACAAAGGAAATCATGCAAGTACACACAAACAGACAAATGTACACACATTTAGCTACATGCACACATACAGACAGACACACAGAGACAAATGTACACATACAGACAGACACACACAGACACATGTACACATACAGACACGTGTACACATACAGGCACATGTACACATACAGACACACAGACACATGTACACACACAGACACATGTACACATACAGACACACACAGACACGTGTTAACATACAGACACACACAGACATGCACATGTTAACATACAGACACACAGACACATGTTAACATACAGACAGACACATGTACACATACAGACACATGTACACAAAGACAGACACACACAGACATGTGCACATACAGACACACAGAGGAACATGTACACACACAGACACATGTACACATACAGACACACAGACACATGTACACATACAGACACACAGAAACATGTACACATAGAGACACACACACATATGTACACATTCAGACACACACGCACATGTACACATACAGACAGGCACATGTACACATACAGAAAGACACACAGACACATACACATACAGACACACAGACACATGAACACACAGACAAATGTACACATAAAGACACACAGACACATGAACACATACAGACACACACAGTCACATGTACACATACAGACACACACAGACATATGTACACATAGACACACACAGACACATGTACACATACAGACACACACAAACACATGTACTCATAGACACACAGACACATGTACACATACAGACACAGATACATGTACTCATACAGATACAGAGACAGCTACACATACAAAAAGACACACACATGTACACATACAGAAAGACACACACACACACACATGTACACATACAGAGACACATGTACACATAAAGACACAGGCACATACACATACAGACACACACAGACACATGTACACATACAGACACATGTACACAGACACACAGACACACACAGACACATGTACACATACAGACACATGTACACATACAGACACACACAGACACATGTACACATAGACACACACACAGGTACATGTACGCATACACACACAGACACATACAGACACACATAGACACAAGTACACATACAGACACACACAGAAACATGTACACATACAGACACACACACATATGTACACATTCAGACACACACGCACATGTACACATACAGACACATGTACACATACAAAAAGACACACAGACACATACACATACAGACACACAGACACATGAACACATACACACACACAGACACATGTACACATACAGACACACAGACGCATGTACACATACAGACACATGTACACATACAGACACACAGACACATGTACACATACAGACACAGATACATGTACACATACAGACAGATACAGAGACAGCTACACATACAAAAAGACACACACATGTACACATACAGACATGTGTACACATACAGACACACAGGCACGTACACATACAGACACACATAGACACATGTACACATACAGAAACATGTACACAGACACACAGACACATGTACACATACAGACACACACATATGTACACATACAGACAGACACACACAGACACATGTACACATACAGACACAGACAAATGATGTACACATAGATACAGACAGACACACAGACACGTACACACACAGACACACAGAGACACACACAGACACATGTACACATGTACACACAGACACATGTACACATACAGACACATGTACACATACAGACACACACAGACACATGTACACATACAGACACACACAGACACATGTACACATACAGACACACAGACACATGTACACATACAGACACATGTACACATACACTACAAACACACACAGACACATGTACACATACAGACACATGTACACATACAGACACACACAGACACATGTACACAGACACATGTACACATAGACACATGTACACATACACACACAGACACATGTACACAGACACACACAGACACATGTACACACAGACACATGTACACAGACACATGTACACATACCAGACACACACAGACACATGTACACATATAGACACACACAGACACATGTTAACATACAGACACACACAGACAGACACGGATACATGTACACATACAGACACACAGACACATAGACACAGACACATGTACACATAGACACACACAGACACATGTACACATACAGACAGACACACATACACATGTTAACATACAGACACACACAGACACATGTACACATACATACAGACAGACACATGTACACAGACACACACAGACACATGTACACATACAGACACACACAGACACATGTACACAGACACATGTTAACATACAGACACGCAGATACATGTTAACAATTACAGACACATGTACACATACAGACACACACAGACACATGTACACATACAGACACATGTACACATACAGACACACAGAGATACATGTACAAATACAGGCAGACAGATACGGAGACAGCTACACATACAGAAATACACACACATGTACACATACAGAAAGACACACACACACACATGTACACATACAGAGACACATGTACACATACAGACACACACAGACACAAGTTAACATACAGACACACACAGACACATGTACACATACATAAAGACAGGCACATGTACACATACAGACACACACAGACACATGTACACATACATAAAGACAGACACATGTACACATACAGACACACACAGACACATGTACACATACAGACACACAGAGACACATGTACACATAGACACACACAGACACATGTACACATACAGACACATGTACACATACAGACACACACAGACACATGTACACATACAGACACAGACACATGTACACATACAGACACACAGACACATGTACACATACAGACACACAAGACATACACAGACAGATTCGACACAGACACACAAACACACACAGACAGATTCGACAGATGTACATACCTTTCCCATCCTTGCCTTTACTCTTCTTCTTACTTAAGAAGGCTAACATGGGGTCTCCCTCCCTGTCCTGTTCCTTCAGCATCTGGTCCAGGTCCTCATCATCCCGGTACCGGGCCAGCGGCTTGTCCATCTCCCTCAGGTGGTCCTCTATGTTAGCTTCCTGCTGCTTCGTCTGCGCAACTCTGAAAAAAGGTGATTTTCATTTTATTCTCAGGCCACACCGATTTAATTTGTTGGTCCTCAGATTCACCTCTTCATTTTTTTTCTGATTTGCAAAAAAGAAAAAGAAAACTCAACTAAAAAAACCCCCCAACAGTTGAGGAAAGTCCTTTTCTTCCTAGTTGTTACAGTTTTCCATCTATCAATGCAGTGGTTTGATTAAAAGTTCAAAATTCATTGTTACATTATGGTCAGAAAGGAGTATAAATCCCTCCTGCTATAAATTGCAACATTATGTAACCCAACACCAGTTACCATGGTGAGAGACGTCAACAAATCAGGTCAGAGATCAGTGTTTGGAGAAGAAGAAGAGGAAACGTAGCAAAAACAATGTTTTCCTTTGGTAAACAAAAAAATTGTGACTTACAGTATTTAGTGCAAAAAAGACGGTCTTACCCTCGTCCCCACTCCATGTATTTTTCCTGTTCTTCCCGCGCCTTGTTCTCTTCTTCCCGCTGTTTTATCCTCTCCGCTTTCAGGTCGCGTTTTCGTCCCTTCTCACGGTACACCGTCTCCGCATTCTTACCAGACACCTAGTTAACACGGTAAAAAAAGCCATCATTTAACTATTATTGTCTATTGTTAGTGTTAGAATAGTTATAAAAGAAGGAGTTGACACCATCAAATGTCTGGACAGTAACTGTACGGCACAGATCTTGAACAACTTGAAAGTTCCCTAACCCCATGTGTTGTACTTGCAGTTTTAACTAATGCAATGTAAATTGTGTTAAATAGCAATTGAAAGCCATTAAAAGATGTGCAAAAGAAAACTCTTGAATCCTATACTTTACCAACCTGATGAAACTATTTTTGGATGTACAAAAGCCGTGTAAACTGCAAGCACTAATTAGCTACAATCATGTATGGCTAATATCTATGACCACATGCATTTTACATATTCAACAAGTGCACAGTGTACTACAGATTTGTTTCAATGGCCAACTTCAAACAGCATGAAATAAAACAGTCATGAAATTAAAAGCATTTGCAGTAACTTACCTCCTCATTCATACGATCAAACATAGCCTTCTCCCTGGCTTTCATAATCCTTGTCTCTTCCCTGAGTGACTGTGCGTCCTGTAGTCCTGCCTTCTTCCCGCTCAGTCCCGAACCCATCTCTAGCTGGTCCGACTTCTTCTGTTGTTTGTCCTTCCTTCTGACATCCGAGGGTTTCTGTCTGGGTGGTGATTGGTCGGAACCGGCGCGGGAATGTCTCGGTGGGGACAGGTCTGAGTCAGAATCGTGCCTCTGACGTCTGGAAAAATGGAGAGATTATATTAGTTATGAATTCTATTAATGTATGGAACATATACGTGTATATAGTGTATATAGTACAGGTGTTTGTTGAAAAATATTTGCGATGAGGGAATGTAAACTCATTTAAATAAAGGTCCATTCCTGTTGCCTGTCATTGTCATATTATTCTTAATACAATACACATGTAATATGAAGTAATATGAAGAAAGTAATATGCTAACATTTGAAAGTAACAATTTCATATGCATAATTAATACAAAACAAAGTAACTTTGACTTTCAAGGTGGTTGACAGAATGGCTATCAATAAAAATGAATTGATTTAATCAATAAATTGATCAATAAAACTGTGGCCTGTCTACAAGTACCTTCTTGGTGGGGACATATCTTCATCTGAATCAGCTCTTCCTCTGGGTGGAGACAAATCACCATCCGAATCATGCCTTCTTCTCTTTGGTGATTGGCTGGTAACCTGATCACGCCCTCTTTTCCTGGGAGGTGATTGGTCAGAATCATGTCTTTTCCTCCTTGGTGGTGATTGGTCACTGTCTGAATGAGGTTTTCTTCTCCTGAAAGGTGATTGGTCAGAGTCATGTCTCTGCCTCCTTGGTGGTGATTGGTCACTGTCAGAATCATGTCTTCTTCTTGTTGACTGGCTTGGACTGTTGACACTTTGGAAACCTCCTTTCCCAGATTTGTTTTTGTCTGGAAAAAGTAAATGGCTAAAATCAGAGAGAGAGAGAACTGGACCTCTAATAATCAAAACAAATTATTTTCCTACACTGGAAAAGCTTGCAGTACAATGAGATTTACTAAATAGATAATAACCATTCTGGTTCTTACTAGACTGTCTACATGTACGTGTAGGGGTCCCCACACTGTGACCCCCTATGCTGTGATTTTGTCCCCTACATTTACAATGTCCTTCAACCAGCATAAACCCATCCCTACTTGAAATCAAAATTTGGCTTCAGTTAGTTATTGAAATAAAGCTATGAGAGAGGTAAACATTACTTTAAAAATTATCTCCCAGAAAATAGTGTCTCAGGGGGTAATATGAGTGCTAAACTTTTTAATGACAATACCAGGATGTCTTTGGGACTTAATGCACTGAGTTTGCACCATGGACAGCTGTCCTGTACCTGACCCTATATGCGGTGACACTATATAATATAACACAACAGAGGGAAAATATGATTTAACAAAATTTGTCTTTTAGAAGGCAGGAAAGATTGTCTCAGGGTCCTGCTGGCATTCCTGGCACAATATTTTTCAATAATTTCATGTCTTAAGTTATTCTCTTAATTAGATCATAGACCCCCCAATTTTTTTTGCCCTGCAGTGGCATAGTTACTTCCACATTCAATGCGTTTCGCTGCGGTGTGATGCGTTGCACGAGAAATACGCCCAAATCGTACCTATACAGGGTGCTATATATTAGATGGTACTGTATGTGCAGAACAACAATTTTCGCCCTGCTCTGCAGGACAAGGGTTAAGAGTGTAATGCAGCTATTTCCAGCATGGAAAGTTTTCCTTCTGTTACCTGACCCCTACACTGTGAGTTTTCAAACAAAAAAATTACCTTCATCTTTTCCCATGAGCCTCCACTTGTTGCTCTGCCTGAAGGCCTCCAGTCGTACTTCCTCGTCTGGTCTCTCGTCAATCACCCCGGCAACCTGACAACAACAACAACAACAAAACGGTAAAGGTCTCGAACCGGATCCAGAGTTATTTTCACGATTTTGGATCCAGCGGACACCCTCAGACCGAAGGGCTACAACTTAGTTGCTACAACTCCGCCAAGAAAAGTACGCTGGGAAATCTCATTATATCAGTCAACGGAGGTTTCCAGCCTGCTTCCGATAGAAGTTTGGTTATTGTCCGTCGACTCTATAATTTGGGTAGAAACTGTAGTTAAACGTAAATTTTGGATACGAAAAATATAAATTTTTATTTGCAGTCTTTTCAATGGACCTGCTTGGAAAAAACAAATTTTCCCAGGCTAACGGCTTATATGCTGAAATAGCTTACTACTTCCTGTTTCTGAAAAATGGAAAAAAAAATAGGTTGCAAAATCCGGTGACGCAAATGCCTTGAAATTCCACATAGAACGCAGCTATTTAGGTCATCAGGCGACAAACTGCATCACCATTGCTCATAGTCATACAGATTTAAAAAATGATTTACATGAATTAAAATGCAATAGACCACAGCTATACACGCGTATGTAGTGCTGATACACTCACCGAAGGTTTCTCCTCCTCTATATCCAGAGCCTCTGGTTCTTCATTCACATCTGGGGCAATGGCTCTCCAGTCTACATCATCATCTACTACACGGATACTGCAACAGGGGGAAATTTGTGTTCTTTAGTATAATTTGTTTTTAAGAAGTTTCAGACATGTAGACCAATACCACCCCAAATTTATTGGTATCAAAATATATTTCTAACGACCAGATGTATGTACCATTGTTATAATAGAAAGAAAGAAAAACATATTGTTTTTGCTCTGTTTTCTCTTCTTCTCCAAACCAAAAAGGTCAATGACCAGAACCAGATGTCTGTCACCATGGTAACTAGTGTTGGGTTACATCTTGTTGCAATATTATAGCAGGAGGGATTTAGACTCCTGTTGCCATATATATGAATGTGTTTGAATAAGAATAATGAGCAGACCATATGTGGTGGAAAACATTATTTGCTTTGCAAGTGTTACCTTTCTACCTTTATTCATGACAAGTATTGTTACAAATATTGCTGTTCGCTGTTGTTGTCTTCCAAATCAAGTTACTGTATACTATTCAACTGGACCTCTGGGAAGAGCGGCTAAGGCTGACAGGGCATTTCCAGTATAACAAAAGGCTATTGTTTGATTGATTGACTATATTGCGTCTCTACTACTACTACATCCTTTGTCTAGTGCGTGTGTCACATGGTTACACTACAGGTACTAGCGACACAAACGTACGGCCAACTCTAGGTACGGCATTTGCTGCGATACAGAGCTGGACTAGGAAGAAAGTACAGCAATTAACCTTGCACATGTGGGGTCGTGTGGCGCAGCGGTAGCGCGTTCGGCTCGGGAACCTAGAGGTCCAGGGTTCGATCCCCACCCATGTCACCGATCTTGTGCCCTTGGGAAAGGCACTTTACACGAATTTCCTCACTTCACTCAGGTGTAAATGAGTACCTAGCTTCGGCTAGGGACGTCCCTCGGATAGGACGTAAACTGGAGGTCCCGTGCTTGAGGAGAGCACGTTAAAGATCCCACCACACCTTTCGAAAAAGAGTAGGGGCATGCCCCGGTGTGCGATGGTCCAAATTCTACAACCCAAATACTACAGTGTAGCAGAATCATCAGTATGTTGATGTTGGCTACCTTAACCTCCAAGACCAAGACCAAGACCATTTTGTTTAGCATAGAACTAAACGACTCTGTGTAAAGGCCACGCGTGGCTAGCTTTGGTAACTTGTGAAAGACTAGACAACATAACGCCCCCCTCCCACAGCGCGTGTCACCAGACTTTAAAGGCTTTATACGAACGGTAAACGAAGTACTGAGACCCAAATATTCTCACAAAATAATCTTCTCCTTACCTGGTTTTAGATTTGTCCTTAGGTTTCTTCTTTTTCTTCTTCTTTTCATCGGTTGGACCCGATAAATAACGTTTTAGATATTCTTCTTTGCTCATCGACGCCATGTTTACGAAAACCGGATACGGATGTAGTGTGGAACAAACCATTACAATATTGGGAGGTAACTGTGCTTGAAGTCAGCCCACCTGTTACTCTTTGTGAATCGCCTAATGACGGGTTTTCTGTGTCTCTTTGTTAATTCCCTTGCCTTGATTATGCTTAAATTCCACCCCACAGACGTTTGTAGTAGTCAGTAACTATATATCTGTCTTGTGCAGGGTTTCTATCCAACTGGTTGGTTTCTATCTATGAGTCACCGGAATTGCGTGGGTGGACTGATCCACACAATGTATGCCCATTCGTGTGGAAACGTCACGTTGACACAAAGCATTCCACCATTCATTTTTAGGTTTTTTTTTTTTTTAGTCCACAGAGTTTTTCTACAGTAGATAAAGTTAGAAAGTAGTCTCTAAAACTGAAGGTAAATTTTAACAATACTGGATGACAGTTCATTGACACAAGGTAAATTAATATATATAACTTGTTATAACGTTATATATATAAGAATATATATACACACTCAGATCTTCATTATGGGCTAAGAAAATTCCCCATTACGTGTCCCTTGTACACAACACTTGACGAACATTGAACAGGGTGTTTCTTCAGACTATTAACATCTACTTGTTAGGTCATTTGGGGATTTCCAACTTCATGCATGCAGGGGAATCCCCTTGACTTGAGTGTTTCGTGATAGTAGTCTGGTGTAAACAGCGTAGTAGTTGAGTCGTGGCGAGTCCGAGTGGCGGTGTTTTACGTTTGCGCTAGTGGGTTTTCTTGTTAAGTTTTTTTTTAAGTCACAGTCGTTGTGGTACTAGTGACGGTGTGCCACTGCTAGTTGCTGATTGTCTAGTTGCAAAACCCCGATCCTTTTCGCAAGCGAAGTCTAGTACGTTATCCGGCCAAACCCTCCAGCCAAATCTACAGGTGAGTAAGCAAATGTTTTGTTTGGGGAACGTGCCAAATTTGGTAGAATTATTTGGCGAGAAAGCATTTAGAGTGCCAAATGGCAAATCAATGTATGTTTAAGTGCTACCCGATTAACAACTGACTTGACAACTTTGATGCAAAAAGTATAAACAGTCGACCAGGAAATAGCCACGTAGCCAGGGGCTTGTATTTGTTTTGTTGTATATGACGTGAATGGACCTACCCTGATTTTTAAACAAATTTATTAGCTACATGACTTCCTGTACAAAGAAATTGCTGCCAGGGATCTGTAGTTATAATTGCTGTTGGATTTTCTGTGATGCAGTCTAGAAGGTAAATCCATATACATGTACTTTCCTAGCCAGAAATGATCAGAAATGTGGTCCGGCATTACTCGATTATCTAGCCGGGCACCCAGACCATTGTACTGCGGGTCCCAGGGTTAAAGCTCCGGGTCACTGGGTGTGTTATTGGGGCCCAGGGGGTACCAACCCCAGTCCTAATCTATAATATATCAAGGAATGTTTAGACCTTAGAACAAGTAGTATAAGGTGACTCATCTATATTTCACAAGTTGTACGTAGGTTAATTTCGTTGTACCCACGTATCTGTATGTCTACATGTAGCTTAAATACCTTCCGAAAGTCGCTGTACTTTTGTTGTGTCAATTAAGTTCTTCTATAATATATAGAGGCCTCTCCTGGCTTGGCGAACCCGTAAAAAAACTGGGTGGACGGGCAGTACTCCGTAATAGCTACCGTGGTAAGCCTTAGCGAAGGTCTGGTTACCAGGCTATGGGTCAGCCATTGCTGAGTCATGCGTGCAAAACATGTGCAGGGTCTGTATATAGTCTCTCTGGTTCATTTACTGTAAGCTGAAATTGACAAGGTTTTAGTGTTGTGGTTGTTGTGGTTTCCTGTTACTCATTTGTGGTCTCCAAGCAGATATTGGAAGGAATTATCTTTAAGGTGCCTCTGTCTGGCCTTTGAGTTGGTAAAAACGCGTGACAGTATTATTTTGAAAGTCTAATTTCTGTATCTGTATCTGTATAGCCGGAATAACCGCCTTTCGGCGTAACACACCAGCTTCGCAGGCACGCGGCGCGGCGGCAGCTGGCTATCTTACACCGATCGACTTGTTACACCTAACCCTTGAACTTCTAGCTCTAGACATTGTTTAAAGCTATCTATTGAAATTTATCTATTATAATTTAAGACTTATACGCTCTCCGCTATCATAGTTTGTCATTATGGGTTATTACGGAAATATTTTGTGAATTTAAAACACATGATTTCTATTTTAATGCCATATCTTTTAAAAATGCGGCTCAGGGCCACTTTGCACTGCGCACTTGCCTCTATTGTTCAATATCTAATCATGATGAAAGGTCAAAAGGACAAGGTACAATGTGATGTTTTCAAAAACACGATTGAAAAGCCGTGAGTCACGTTGCTTCGGGTCATAGCAACCGGGTAATCCATTTCAAAGGGTAAAGGGAGACAGTTTCAACGTTTAAGTTATAATGCTTTAGAACGATGAAAAAAGAAGGGACAGGCCGGAAAAGGAAATATCACAAAACATTGGTGGAATGGAATTTAAAAATCTTTATTATTCTGCTAAAAATCATTAGATAATTCTTGGTAATAATTTACTAGTGAATACATGTAAATACTTAGTATTTTTCGATGCAATCGGCAATATGACACCAGCCGAATGATTCTTTATTAATACATATATCGTTAACGCTATGACGATATGTTTTAAGACAAAGAATATACGACAGAACAATGTACACTTAATGATGTAGGTTGCCAAAATATACTTAATAATTTAATAATATACAGAACACTATTTGTGCAGGGTGGTAATTTCCGGTTGTATATACTAAGTACCTCACTGTCCAAACAAAGGATTTCCCTTTGTCAAGTATCGCGACAAGAGCTTAAACTTGAAAGGGAAAGATCATGCGTCATCCCATGCAAACACGGGCACCCATTCTAAACATACCCCCATTTCAATACGAGGTGGTACCGTGGTACAGTCTGATGACGTACACACTTGGGTTGTTCCATTATTCCAAAGGGTTGGGGGTTATGTAGCCTATTTTCATGGACTCCAAATAACCCTTTTCAATAATAGTGTCAACACCAGTAAGATTTCAATTAAGAAAGGATGTTCTTTCAATGGCTAATATCTTCGTTGTCATTTTAAACGCATGTTCGAAGCGAATGACCTAAAAATGCGTGTACAGATCTTGTCAGTTTTTCCAAAGTCATTTCCTTCCGAGCATGAAACGGAGACTGCATAGAGAAAGTAAGATTCTGAGAGAAAGTAGGGCTCAGGTGTTAAAACGGAATATCACATTTCACGTATGAATAACATTGACGTTTGAAATCTGAATGCTGCAACGTGTTATAGAACATGTGGCTAAGAATGGCTGTAATTATCAGTCTCTATGAATTGGTTTATTACAATGATTCATTGTATTGCAGGTTTCACGTAAATGCGGAGCAACAAGGTACAAAGCAAGAAGATAGATATCAACGTCGGAAGTAAAACGCGTAACCGCCAAATATCTAGGTTGAAAAGACGTCAGTACTGACAAGTAAACATATGTGACTGTGCCTTATAATTAAGACAACATCCGTGGTGTTTACAGGAAAATCACGACTCTGTAAAATTGAATGTGAAAGCCTTTTTAAGAATAATTTGATTGCCAAGGTATATGCTACAAGATACAGAAATGACAGGTTATCCAGTGGAACTTGTGCCTCCAGGAAACGGAACTAGCAAAAACAAAGGCAGGGGGCGGTCCCTTTCCATGTCGGCACTTCAGTCAAAAAGCTTGGACGAAAATGATAACATCACACCATGCACTGCCAAAAGCTTAAAAAGAAGCCAATCTCTGAAGGTTTTGGATGCTAACCAAACGTCGTGGCGAAGCCGCATCGCTCGTGCCCGGTCAGAGGACAATGTCCATCGCAAATCATCGGAAGGGGTGTTTGAAGAGGCAAACGACAACACAGCAAACAATCACCAAAAGCCAACTGTTACTAGTGCGACAAAGGCGAATTCACAGATTCGAGAAAAGCCAAAAGTTGAAACTCTACACAAAAAGAACTTGTCGCCGAAGACTGTCGCGAATCAAACTAACAATCTGCCACAGTTTCGGAGGCACAGTAGAGAAGTGATCAGTGGCTCTGCAAATATTCGAGAAAATAAAAGGCTATCGACAAGAGATATGTCTAGCTGTGAAGGCATAGAGGAAGAAAGCAACGAGTTGGAGACTGAGTCTGGAATGGAGGGCGGGCAAAGTATGCCGTCTTCGTCTGACGACGTAGGAACTATTGATGTACTGCAGGTTCCTCTACAGTCGCTACCGCAGGTTCCTCTACAGTCACTACCGCAGGTTCCTCTACAGTCACTACCGCAGGTTCCTCTACAGTCGCTACCGCAGGTTCCTCTACAGTCACTACCACAGGTTCCTCTACAGTCGCTACCGCAGGTTCCTCCACAGTCACTACCGCAGGTTCCTCCACAGTCACTACCGCAGGTTCCTCCACAGTCGCTACCGCAGGTTCCTCCACAGTCACTACCGCAGGTTCCTCCACAAGCAGCCGGGTTTGCACCTTTCATGTTTATACCGGGCTTCAATCCAGGCACCCTACCACAAGCAGGGTATCCGTTCCCGCAAAATAGTATCATAATTATGAACAACTGCAACAACATACAATTTGGAAACCAGAACACAATCAACTCCACACAGCATCACGAACACCACCCTGGAGGAAAATTTCAAGGGCTGAATCCAGGTACATTTCATATTACTATTTTTCCTTTAACTGAAATATTTTGATTTAAAATCATTTGATACTATATGTACACGTAACGGTAGAAGATATGTTGACATGATTGTCTGGAAACCTTACACTCTGTCCTCAGACACGATGAGGATGCTTATTAACTTGACCAACCCAGAAGACGAACAGCAGATGCTGAATGACCTACAGGACGAAGACAAGCGTAAAGACTTTGTCAGTGGTCTCAAGGCATTTGGCACACAGGTAAAGAGTTTTCCTTACCTTGTGGTATGCAAGATAAACCATGAATAACTGGATTTTGTTTTTGAACTCTTCCCCAACGCAAAAAAAAAAAAATCACTGAATCACGCAGTCTTCTTCAGATAACTGACCCAGTCGCTAATGACACGTGACTTCATATGTATGTCTGACGTCAGCAATAGTTCAAAGGTTGTAGGAAGTTGATATCGCCCCCCGTCCCTGTATTATAATGGAAATTATCAGCTCAGATGAACTTTATACAAAAATTGGATTTTTGCACTGTTGTGGTGTGCATGGTTAATGTTTACTATATAATGTTTCTTATACCTCTGTAGTTGAAGACTGCCAGAGGCGGCTGCGTTCTGCTCGACTTTGAGCTGTCCAAAGATCCCGAGGAACGTTTGCGCTTCCTGCGGTCCTGCCAAAGCGGGGAGTTCCAAAGGTTCATCCAGGTATGGCCACGCGAAAACACACGGGAAAAGCTTGCCTGGCTAGCCGGCTTAGCCGAATGATAGACCCGCCGCTTGCACATGTATAAATACCAGCCATCTCGCAGTGATAGCTCTGGTTAGCCGTCATCCAATCATACACTCCCTTTTCTGCTGTCGGACCCAAAGCTATTGGTTGACCAATCACAATGCCTCTTGGCCATAGGCGGCGACACGATTGGCTGTTAGCTTTCCCTTGGCTTAGCGGCAAAGAACATTAGAATCACATTAGCCATGAAACCGGGCATAACAGTAAAATTATGGCATCAAATGTGTACGTATACACTAGGCACAATGTAATTTTTTCTGTATTGTATTAACGCTACAAGACGATAAGTATACTATACTTTCTTTTTTAATAAAATTGCAGACCAGTTTGCTGTCCCGGTACGTGGAGGACCCGAGGAAAGTGTCGATGGTCCTGTGCTTCAGTATCGCGTCTATTACTGACACAGAGTGTGGGGAGATGGCATTCAACTTCAACTGTGAGTCGTCTTGGCTTGTCTGTTTGTTTGTTTGTTGTTTGTTTGTTTGTTTGTTTTAATGAAGACATATTTATGGCATGCACACTTAGCCTCTTGATCTTACGTAATCATTTGAAGGATAAGGCATACATTGAAGTAAACATGTTCACCCCAGAAACAGGTTACGATACGATATACCGTAAAATAATAACGATCACAATTGGGAAAAAGGCCCCGGCGGGTAGTTAAGGGGCTGGTTTTTGGCGCTTTCGTGTGTGTACCCTCTGCTCCTGCTGGACTCTTTTTGACTTTTGGGGTACGGTTGGCGCAGGCCCGCGGATTTTTCAATTTTTTTTTAAACTACCAGTTAAATTTGACTGGCAGTTGGAATCTTGATCTACAAGGGCAGCGCAAATGTAAAGTGTAATCATAATCACGGCAGCAAGTGCCCTCACGATCCACTTCAGAGCGATCACCCGGCTGCGGACTACACCCGATGCGGGTGCCGGTGCAATTGAGCATTACATACAACACAGAAACATGTCATTGAAGTACGGATTTGTTGGGTTGTTCAGTGCTTCAGGCCGGGCCCGGCGTCACCACGGCAGGAGGTTTGGAAGGACTGCGGCAGTACGTAAACCTGTCCGGAATGAGGGTTGTTAACGACAGTACGTCAAACCACAGCAACCTCCAGTCTGTCATGGAAGACATCATGAATCCAGAACAACGCGATGCTTTTCAACTACACTGGTCACAGGTAATACCCTACTACTTACGACAGGTTTACGACAGCACATTGTTAAAAAATCTTATGCCAGTCGTATGCCTTGTGACGGAAAAAGTTCGGTAGACCATGGTTCTATTAAAGCCTTGCCAAGAAATGGAAACAAAAAATAATAATATTTTACTTATCATGACTTAAATTGCAGCGTCTTTGGATCACCTATGGCTTATTATATAACTTGTCAAGCCCAGCCCTGTATTACTCTGAAAGCTTAATGTATTAATGTTTTTATTAAGGAATATATGTCACCACTCATACATACATGTACATGTAACCACCTTAAGACTGCCACATCAAAGAAAAAACAACAGCGACATCAATGCCTCCTGAAAAATTATCTATATCTGCATACCACGATGTCTACTTTTGCTGCATTAGTATGTCTGTTAAGTATGGTTTTTATTCAACATATTTATTTGGTGGTTCAAGTATGCCCAGTAGACTTATGATACTAGTAGTTGAAACTGGCTGTAATGTTTGAATCTATGTGATTTCTGAACTTAGACCACCTCCGGAGATGTGTCGGCTATCGGAGAGCAGTCGGCGATGTCAGCGATGGCAGAGGTGCTACAGAGACCTGTCCGAGTCATCACTGCACTCGAGACTAGCTACGTAGACGTTCTCTTCCTCCCATCGCAGCCCCTCAGTACAACCGTTCCCGTGGTACCTGTAGTGATCGGAGCATACGGCAAAGACCACTACGTCAGAATCGACTACGTCATACCCGGTAAGTGATCGCCAATCAAGTGGCGACTAATATACACTTTTGCTGGGGCCACCGCTTGTATATGTCAAGCTATAGCAACGGCAATGTTCCAGCGTGCGATCTTCCTTTTCCGCTGCGTTAGCACTGTTTAACCGTAAACCAATAAGATGCTGCCCATCCCGTTGTTGGGGCCAATCATGACACCGCCTACCGTCAAGAGGCAACTTGATTGGCTAGTAGACAGCCAATCATGTCGCCGCCTACGGTCAGCAGGAAGCTTGATTGGCTGGTAGCTCTTTTTGATACAGAGATATTTTAATATCGGTTTCTTGTCATCTCAACATAGTATCAATTTTCATGTTCACGGTGTTGTAATTACAGGTTTCTCACAATGAAGTAATCTCTATTACAGAGGTACCTTCACAAGCAGCGACATCTTGCGGAGTCGAGCTCCACGCCAACAGCCCCAAAAGTGGCACAGCAGAAGAGGGAGAAGGCTTCATATGGGAGAAAACAGACGGAGGGCATTCTCTTCAATTCAAGACCACCATCAACAGTCTTACCGAGAAGACGTGCCTCCCGAACAAGACAGACTCGCGATGGGCCACCCTTACTACTGTCGCCTTCACCGACTGCACTGTGGACCTCAGAGGCACAGAAGATGTACCGACCCTCGAAGTGCTCGCTCAAAACATGCACCAAGATCTGATCACACTTGAGAACGTCTTAACTCTAATTCCTCAGCGCTCCAGAGTGTCGAAGATATACCTTGCTGGAAACAAGTTGCGCCAGATACCGGATGGATTGGGTCTCCTGCCGAATCTAACATGCCTGTCAGCACCGAAGAACAAGCTGAAGAAAATCCCAGCCGGAATTCCAGACCTTGGGTACCTCACCGTGGTCGACTTCAACCGCAACCATCTGACAAAGTTTCCCGAAGTTCTCCAGCACCTCCCACTATTGAAGAAAGTCTTTCTCTGCTGTAACAGGATCAAATCCGTCCCAACCGGGCTTCTTCCGAAGATGAAAAACCTCACGGTTCTGGCCATGGATAAGAACCATCTGAAAGGTGTCCCCCAAGACATCGTGAAGTGCAGCAACCTTGTGGAGTTGCACATCAAAGGGAACCCCCTCAGCAGTATGCCTAGAATGGTGTTCAGCATGCCCAGTCTGCGTTTGCTAGGGGTTGACAGAAAGGTATGGGAAGGTTTTCGGAAACACAATGACGACACAAGATACCGTGCATCCTTTGACGTGTGCTTTGACAAGTGCGAACACATGGGCTACGACGGGAAACAACAGGATACTACCGAAGCAACAGGCACCACCATCCAAAAAGCAGAAGACAAACTAAAGAGCCAATTGGGAGAGGAACATCTACCGAAGCAAGGCTTCCCGTCCGAAGAAGAATACGAACAGAAGCAAGGATGTCCCTCAGAACAGGATCAAGAGGATCTCCCTATATCCCCATCAGCTGAAATGAGTCTCACAACTCACGTCTCCAGCATGGACGACTACAACAGTACTTATCGAAGGTCCATAGAAGACCCCGGCGAGTTTTGGCGAGAGATCTCCGAAGAGTTCCACTGGGAAACCGGTCCAAAAGGAAAGTTTGTCGAACACAACTTCGACCCCAACGTCGGTGACGTTTTCGTACGATGGATGCCTGGGGCGACAACGAACATCACCTACAACCTACTGGAGAAGAACATTCGGGAGAAGTGCCTTGGGTCTTCCACAGCGTTACAGTGGCAAGGGGACGACGACGTGGAAACAAGGGAAGTGACGTATGACCACCTGAAGACCCTGGTCTGTCGAGCAGCGAACATGTTGAAAGCTAAAGGGATCAGGAGAGGCGACCGAGTGATGATCTACATGCCACAGACGATAGAGCAGGTAGTCGCCATGCTGGCCTGTGCACGCGTCGGTGCCGTGCACTGTGTTGTGTACGGAGGGGCAACGGCTGAGTACCTGGCGGACCGGGTGAAAGATTCGAAGTGTACCGCCATCATCACCGCTGACTTTGCCGGTAAAGACGGCGGCAGGCAGCCCGTGAAGACTGAGGTAGACAGGGCCTTGAAACTCTGCGGCAGGGAACACTTCGTGCGCTTCTGTGTCGTCGTGCGGCGTGTTGGCGTCGGTGACCAGGACACTTGGCCGAAAGCAACCGGGTCGCAAGAGAGCAGCGTCCCGTGGTGTGACGGAAGAGACTACTGGTGGCAGGAAGAGATGGAGAGAGTGGACGACGAGTGTGAACCAGAATGGATGGATGCAGAGGACCCCCTGCTAATTCTCTACACAAGTGGTTCTACTGGTGAGTACAGAGATTAAAAAATGCAAGGATTTTATTTTAAGGAAGGGGAGAAGACAGAGTAAAATCGCGTAGTACTAGTATCGTCTCATGCCAGGGACGTCACTTCTATGTACCATCCAGCATGGGCCTTGCGTTTCGTCCTTGCGCTGGCCCAGTCTTCAGCCAATCAGAAACCACACTTACTGCTGATTTTAACAACCAATCACGTTACGTACAAATCATAGTTGGAGACGTGATTGGCTGGTTGCTTTCCCTCCAACATCAGGGGGCAGGAGTTATTGCCTAGCGCTAACGAAGTAAGAACTTGCAGGCAGGTACGCCAAGTAGCGACCCTGGCATGACAGGAAGGGTAGTCCAAATCGGTCGCTACGACTGAGGTAAGGAGTAAGAATTCAGAGGAAGAGAACGAGGGAGAGGAGGAGAGAAAGGAGTCAAGGGGACATGGATGTAGGGAGGACCTGTGTGTCGATGAAGAATTTATTCGTGATTGCATTTGCTAAATATAGCATCTTGTTTTGATTGACAGGCTCTCCGAAAGGAGTAATCCACACAGTCGGCGGCTACATGATGTACGCAGCAACTACCTTCAAATACGTCTTCGACTGCGGCAACGTTACCAACAAAGTCCACTTCTGTACGGCCGACCTGGGCTGGGTGACCGGGCAGAGTTACGTCGTCTACGGCCCGCTGCTGAACGGGGTCACCACGGTCCTGTTGGAGGGCGACCCTCTCAAAGCCAATAGGATCGTCTCCATGGTGAGGCGGTACAGCGTCACCAGCCTCTACACCACGCCCACCGCCATACGTCACATGAAGGCAACTAGCGGTTCTGAAGCGAACTACAAGCTGGACACTCTCCGCGTCGTCGGCACCGTCGGAGAACCGATCGCGACATCAACATGGCGGTGGTACCGGAGCACCATCGGCGGCGACCATTGCTCCGTAGTCGACACGTACTGGCAAACGGAGACCGGCGGGCACGTCATGACACCCCTGCCGGGAGCCACCCCGATGAAGCCCGGCTCCGCTACGCTGCCGTTCTTCGGGGTCGAACCGGCAGTTCTGACCGACGACGGTACGGAGATGGTAGGTCCGTGCGAGGGACACCTGGTCTTCAAGTCACCATGGCCGGGGATGATGCGGGGGATCAACGGCAAGCCGGAAAAGTTCACCTCCTACTTCCAACAGTTTCCCGGGTACTACTACACGGGGGACCGGTGTCGGCGGGACGGGGATGGGTACTACCGGATCCTCGGCAGGCGGGAGGACAGAGTCAGCATCCCCGGCGCCATGGGACAGGTCTTCAACCAACTAGACGTGGAGGCAACACTTCTTCAGGTTAGTATCATTTAAAATTATATCTGATTATCTCATTATTATTCATTTAACATTTGATCTGAAGGTTTATATTAAAGTAAGGGCAAATACGTATGTAATATATACTCAATGTGCCCAAAGATCAAGGAGCTTGTTTACCCCCCTCCCAGAAGAAGTATCCAATCAGGAAATGCCTTTAAAAAGTCACGTGATTTCGTTAAAACCAATCAACTGCCTCATTACATTTCTGTCATCTCTAAGCAGATGTAAGGATTCGGTGAATAGTTTAAAAGGCTGACGTACTAAAAACGGAAAACATTTTTTTATCTTCGCACAGCACCCTGATGTAGAGGACGTGGCAGTGGTGACAACGGACCCGACAGACGACACGGGCGAGTGCCACAGCGGCGGGTACGACAACTGGTACATTTTCGTCACACTCCGCCAGACGGCGTGCCTGCACGCGCAAACCATCTTCACCAACCTCCGAGAGATGCTGGCCACGTCGTTACACGTCTTCACCCCGCCCAGCCACATCCACTGCGCGAGCGAGTTACCGCGAACCTGGTCGGACAAGGTCCTCAGGCGGCTGCTGCGTAAGGTTGTGCTCAACGATCTGGACCTTGGCGACTTTCATGTCGTGGCCAACCTGAAGTCCCTCCCCAAACTTTTCAGGCAGTGTCGCGACATGCAAACTTCGTGTCAACCTATTGATATGTTTACAAAACCACGAACCATGCCATCGTGAAAAAACTGCCAAATCCCTGCAAACAAGACAAAAAAGAGACATAGTGCTAAACTTGATCAGTTTTACAAAAATCATGTTATTTTGTAAAGAAATTTCGACACGTGGTAATTTTAATGTCACTCCATGCCTAGAAATCTGTTGTCAAAATCATGACATCTTAAAAACAAATAGTTGGAAAAACAAATTTCAAGTACTCATGTAGATATTTTGTGGAAAATATGTACTCCCCAAACTTTTCAGGCAGTGTCAAGACATACAAACTTCATGTCAGTCTATTGATATGTTTACAAAACCACGAACCATGCCATCATGAATAAGTGCCATGTCCTGGAAAACAAAACCTGTTAAAAAATCAAGACAAAAAGAGACATAGTGCTAAAATTGATCAGTTTTGCAAAAATCATGTTTTTTTAAAGAAATTTCGACACGTGGTAATCTCATGTCACTCCATGCCTAGAAATCTGTTGACAAAATCATGACATCATTGAAACAAATAGTGGGAAAAACAAATTCCATGTACTCATGTACATATTTTGTGGAAAATATGTACTATTAAGATAATCATGGTAAAGTAACACCAAAGGCTCTAAAACTGTTCTGGAGTGACGTTTTTTGCTCATCTATTACGATGACTCAGGAATTTTGAAAAAAAAAGAATGGAAAAAGTGCTGCACCTATGCATAATGCCTAGGAAAATGTTCAAAACGACCCCTGAATTCACCTTTAAATTTGATTTAGCGCAATATTTTATACATTACAGACAATTATTTAGCATAAAACCTCAAGATTTGCTTGTGTAATGGGAGTAGATTGGAATTTATTTGCATGTATATACATTTTATGTATTGCATTGAATTGCTTGCTTGCTTCAGCTGTGTGTGCGCTTTTATATACAGAAATACATATATACAGGTGTTTGATAAATGTAAAAGAAAAAATTGTAAAAATTCCATTGTAATATAGTTATGTTATGATGTTGCTGCATGTAAAATCTATTATATATACATATTTCTCATATTTTACACGTATGTTTAATAGGGATCCGGATATAAGAAATTTGGGTGTTTTGGGTGCAGGGCCCAGAATACTTTTAAAAATGATGTTTATATTTGTGCAATGAGGGAAACATTTTCTTACCCTTGCCAACTTAAAATTTCATCTTGTGGTATTCTTCAAATACTGACACAGCCAATTTTAAAACCACCGTATCGCAAACTGCAGACGATGGATTACAAAAAAAAAAAAACAGGTACAGTCTGACGTAAAATGCGTAGTGATTTTTTGGTAAACACTATGAACTATAAAAACTGCCTCAAACTCGTTTGTATCGGCGTGTAATACATTAAAACAGATGAAAATCCATCGGAGAAGTCTTCTGTTCGTCCTGTGTTAGTTATTGCCTTAGTTCAGCAGCTCAACCTTCAGACGAACGCCATTTTCTTGAGTTGGAAACTGGTTGGCTTTCTTGGACGACATGAACGCGCGCTTTAATTTTCGCCTGATCTTAAAAAAAGTCTTAGAAATTTCGTTGCCTTCTGACAGCGGTCAATATGCGGAAAATGGGCGAAGATGTCTGTTGCCATGCCAGAAGGTGGATGGCAGATAACTATGAAGAGAGGAGGCAAGAAAAGGCTCTCTTAATGTCTTGTTTCTTACTTTGATGCAGTAATATGTGATGCTGTCTGTGTATATGTGATGTTCCCACTGAATCAAAACCATTTGTGCAATGATACGATTGAGTCAAATTTTAAAATGTCTTCTTTTTTTCGGCCTGTCTTGTTTTTTTCGCCCGCTCGCATTAGATTTGGAGTCTGTAGAGGATGCCATCCATAAAATTTACTTGCTACGGCCATAACTGTACTCAGATCACAGGACCACAGCGGCTTGTCACGTCCTATCTGCCCATCATACGGCGTAGTTGGCATGACTCAGACGATATGCCTGTCACTTCGTATTAATATCAACAGGCGATCATATGTCTATCTATATACGGACACGACGTGGATCTGGCAATGCGAAACTAACGTAATATTGTTAACAGTTCTGAATTTGCTTCAGAACTTCCTACTACCCGAAAACATTAGATACCAGTAACCTTCATTATTTCGTATGAATACAAATTTTATTTCACACGAAAGTTCAATTTTAACATGATGATCACTTGAAACCATCACAAATGTTTTCAACAGTAATACACTCTGGTATGTAGTTATGTAATGCAGATGTTAGGGGTGGTAGATTTTTGGTTGCCAACTTTTTCTGGTAGCCGGGCTATTCTGGCCAAAACCTTTCGGTCTTTTGCCCCCAATATCTGCTTGGAGTTTGGTCACTACACTGCACTTCAAACAATTGCCGTCACTCTTTACTATAGCCCTGGCTACATCCGAAAAAATAAACAAACCAAAGCCTCAGAGCTTGCCCACCTAAACAGAGAAGTGCACACACTATTAAACTAAATATATATAGTATTTTATACTGTATCTCTTTTAATTTATCTGCCTTGCGTCATCCTCTTTAAAACTGTATCAAGAGATAAAGGGCTGTCCTTAAACGTGAATTGTGTATCTTGTACAGAATAAAGACGATTTTAAAAAAGTTTAGAGATGACCTTGGTGCTTGACCTTGGTAATCAAAGGTCAAGGGTCACTCCTAGCCGCCAGCTGCGGATACACAAACAAGCTACCGTCATTGACATGTGACCCTGGGTGAGCCCTTGACATGGGCTTAAATTTCACACCTATATATAGCTATTCTCAAAAACACACAGAGAAGATACGAAGCCGATAATTCCTTTATTTGCATAATGATGAGATCTGTACAGTTAACAGGGCTATCACTTGAAATGCAATCTATAGGGTTTTGGCTAACAAATAATATCAGGCGACGTCGACGGAAGACGTTCAATCTATGCCATTGCAAAATGCATCAAGAGGTGTTAAAACTAAAACAACCAGACTACGTAGAGAAAGCATGAAATCCCTCTTACCATAAACGAAATCTTCGCATGTTTATTTCTGTCGACGTACTGCTAATGTTCCAGTATCTCCGATCACAACAAATGAATTTTGTTTAGCGTCACATTTCGATGGTTCTACACAGTCCCACATGGCGTTCTAATCCGGGACATTCGCAGCAGACAAATGTAAGCAGATACACGACATTCTCCGCATTGCAGTTGGCAGACAGGAACACGCCAATAAAGCAAGACCCTGCGGTATGCTGGCTTGATAAAACGTCTGTAATATTATCAAAATTCTGACATTTTCCATTTTCATAATTCATTTTGAAATTACTATATTTTGAATTTACCAACCAGAAATTATTACCACTCTATATTTCTAACTCTAACTCTTCTAACGATTTTCAACTACATATATCGGTTCACATTAGATATTATATTGATATCTAGTCTTATCGTTATGTTAGTGTACAACAAAACCTATTACTAAGCTTCTCAATTATAAACTAAAATCTAAGATTTTTCTTTACCTTAAAGTTTGTGGAATTAAAAAATACAACAGTTAATACGTTGGTTTAAACTAAAATTTGGTCACGAAAAGACATGTGCCAGACCAAAACGGTTTGTAAGGTCTTTGTAAATATAGAACTGTGAAATATGTTAATACTCTGTAACACTGTTTGGTGATATCATGTATAACGGACGTGCCTTAAACACGTTCATTAGATAACTTCCATGCTCTACAGCGATTGGTTTTTTGTTTTAATCTAATCAGTTTAGCTAGTCAAGCTTACAAACGGCTAAGTCAAGTTACGTCTAAATTTTGAATTTGTCACAGAATGCATGTATATAAACACGTGCATTTACGTGCATTTTATAAAATATTGTGTTATATTTCTACAACCTCTGTCGAAATATGTACGAAGAAAATATCAAATATACACCGACTGTCGTCTGGTATAACCAGTAAAGTATCATGATCTTTCTTATACCTAGGAAAAAAAATGTTTTTTTTGCTTCCAGACCGGCCCTAACAAAAATCAGCCAACCCTAGACTTTAGGGGGGGGGGAGGGTCATTACTTCAGTCGAAATTAAAAAAAAAAAGGTTAAAGAAAGAATAGGATTTTTTCAGAACTTAAATCTGAAGTACAACATTTTCCTAGACCTTACATGTAAAAATATAAGGGCGGGGTTACCATTTGAACATGGGGATATGTTGTTGAAGGTCATGTGAGCTTTAGAGGTCAATGTCATGGCTGTAGAAGCTGCACTCCCCTCCTGATCCCATTAGTTCATCCATAGAGAAACTCCCTCCCCTCTGGATGTAGCTCTTCCTTGTTGTTCCTCCTCCCTGTTGGCTGCTGATCTTCCTCATCAAATCCTCCATGGCGCTGTCTCCCTGCATCTTCATCTGTGCTCCTCCCATTGTCATTCTCGCCATCTCTTCCTCCATTTCTCTCATCTTGTCGTCGCTCTCTCTCTCGAAGCCGGAGCCCATCCTTCTGCGCCCTTTCTGTGGTTTTCTGCTGGCTTTGCCCTGCGGTGGGAACCCCATCCCCCAATCTTCGTCGTCGAAATCAGCCATGCCCATCGTGATGTTCCCTCCTTCGTAGCTCTCTTCTCTTCTCTCACTCGTCATCTGGCTACTGCTGGATTGGCTGGTCTCCATGTACCCTCCGTTGAAGTTTTCCACCTTCGTTTCTTCCTTGTGTTCCTCCTCCTTCTGAGACTCCTCGAGCTCCATTCTCCTGCCGTCTTCTGTCTCTTCGGTCGTCTGTTGGACCTTCTTGGTTTTTTCTTGCGACTTCGATTTGTGGCCTCCCTGGAATTCCTCTCTCTGTTTCTCCTTCATACCTTCCTCTTCCAGCTCGAAGCTCTTTCCCTTTTCTTTGACGGCAAGCCTCTTCCCTCTTTCTTCGAGTTCCATGGACTTTCCTCTCAATTTGTCGTCAAGCTGCATTTTTCTCTCGCGCTCTTGGAGTGCGGTTTTTCGGCCATTTTCTTCAAGCGCCATTTTCTTTTGGGTGTCCTGAGAAGCGATCTTCCTCCCTGACCACATGTCTTCGGCCTCCATCTTTTTCTGTTTCTCTTCCAGCTCTAAATCTTTTCCCTTCTCTTGTAGCGCCATGGATTTTGATTTTTCATCCAGCATGATCTTTTTCCCCTCCTTGGCCATGGCCAATCGCTTTTCGTCTTCTTTTAGGCCCATTTTTCTTCCCTTTTCTCTGACCGACAGCTTTCTGTGGGTCAAAGTTCAAAACATCAAAGAGATAGAATTATCATGGAAGTTCATTCCGTGTCGGTAGTGATCATAGTACGACGCTGAACTATGATTCCGAGACGAAGGTACACAGATCTAGAGATCACATCGATCTTTACGACCACCGTCGCATTTATCAGGATAAGTAATGTTCAATATAATACATAATAGCTTCCGAACGTGAATGCAAGAGACATGTATCCGTCAAGTCTAGATCTGGTGTAAGTAATGTCACGTGCCCGTGACTCTTGCCGATTCACGTTCGTAATCTTTTGATCTTTGCTTATCCTGACGTGGTCGCTGAAAATATGATCTCCATATACCTTTAACATCAGTATATAGTAATAAGTATATAGTATAAGTTTACCTTTGCTATTGTAAAGGCATCCAGCGTTATTCCAGGGTAGCAAAACTGAATCTTAAAAATCAATTTTCTAGTTCTAGTATTAACTTGAATCAAATCTATAGCATGACAACTTTGAGGCAAAACGTGATGCCGCAAAAGGAAAACAGTTGCTTGTTTTGCATTATAGACTATTTTAAGTAAGACTATTATATGGTATGAACCCGAAAATAAAGAGACGCGACACTTGTTTCGGGGCTATTTCGAACGCTTAAAATATAAAATGATGGCAAAAAATGAGCAGGAAATATGATTTCCAGACATATATCCTCATCCAGAATACATTTGTTTTTCTTTTGTCATTCTGAAACTGCATTGGATGCCTTAAAACGTTCTGAAAAATGTTTTTAAAATAAAAACCATCACGAAAATTAGTAGATAGCATTACCTAAATTCTTTCTAGAATAATCCCAAAATATTACTTGCATAAGCATGATTTGGCTTGTTGGATAACATGCTAGTTACTAGCCTGTGTTACGCAATGTCTATCTCTCGCTGTCAGGGGTAAAATGCCCCCCTCCCCCACTAGTCAATCACAAGGCAAATGTGTAGCGTTGTTACATGTATCTTACAATAGACGTAATAAGCATCTATTTGCCACTGGACTCCATTGAAAGCGCCAATCTCTTATATATACATTATACAAAGGACAAAGGCAAATAAGATGCTTGGAGAATAGCTTTCGGCAATGTTTGGCTGTGTAGAATCAACAATAAAAGAAATTCATCTTTAAATCACGACTACATACGAGGAGGAATTTCTTTTTTTTTTACCTTGTATCTTCTTCCATTGCCATCATCCTGTCATCTTCGTCCATTTCCATCCGGCTCCCCTTTTCCTCCAGCTGCATCAGTTTGTCCCTGTCCTGCAGCGCCACCCTGCGACCTTCCTCCTGCATTGCAAGGTTCTTCCCGCCCAGATCCATCTGTGTCCTGGTCCCTCTTTCCTCCACCCCGATCAGTCGGCCATCTTCCTCCATTTCCAGAACTTTCCCCACTTCCTCCGTCGTCATCTCTTTTCCTTTTTCTTTCACGGCCATTTTTCGCCCTTTCTCCTTCATTTTCGCTCTTCTATCGCCGTCGTCCATGTCTATATTTCTGATCTTTTCGTCGAGTTTTCCCTTCCTGCCCTTCTCCACGTCCTCAATCTCTATTTCCCTTCCTTCTTGATGGACGTCACATTTCTTACCGTCTTCTAACAACTCCATTTCTTTCTTCTCGTCTTTGTTAACTGGAAGGTTATTTCCTACCTTTAAGTTGATGTTCCTTTTCGCCATGTTTTTTTCTGCTTGTAGTTTCCCGAGTCAGGGGATAGTATCAAATCCTTCTCGCAGTCTAGATGAACGTACGTTTGCCGTCCGAAAAATCTCGTCACGTATACACTGTCCCAGTCGGAGAGGGCTCGTTTCAAGCACTGTACGCAACCACAAAGAAATCTTTCGTCGACAAATGAAAGACACCCTCTCTCTCTTGTCTCCTCTCTGGTACCCAAGACGCTTGTTTCCAAAACGAAATACTCCGAGGTCCTTCTAGGTTAAAGAGGACACGAAAAACAAGGCAGGATTTCGTCTACAGGGCTTCCACTAATTGCAGTTTGCAGCTGTTCTCTCGGTAGACCCACTTATAACGCCGCCGGCGGAGGAAGCGAGTCACTCGCACTATCATTGGACACCGTGCAGGGGCGTTGTACATATTTGACAGTTGAGTTCAAATTCCTCCGGCACAGATCACCCCCGTTTCGTAACGCTGCCTTTCAGGGAGTCCTGCTATTGCAGCTGGCGTTAGATGTTTAGCATGACACAAAAACTACATTCTTTTCAATACAGATATATAGAAATAAGTCCCACTGGGAGATGAGAAAAATGTGCAATGAGATAACGTCATGTGTGGGTTTCTTGCTTCATATTCAACATTGGAGGAAAGGGGAGGGGGGGGGGAGGTCTAACCATATTTGGATTTTGTAACGTACACCCTATGCATCCCTGTCGGGCGACACTACCGACTATTAATAGCGAGCCAGGGTGGTTTCTGGTCAACAGGGACAAGCCAATAACACCGAGAAGGATGCAGAACTTTCCAGAACACAAAAACAATAAAACAATTAGAAATATTAATTTATTGACTTTTTTGTTTGTTTGTTTGTTTGTTTGTTTGTTTGTTCGATCTATTTTGTAGTATATCATATCATATGAATAGCAAAGTTCTTTGATTTATTTTATTTATTTTTCACAAGCCGACGTTTCGATGACCGTCTGTCATCTTCATCAGGGCAATTTTGACTGGTTTACTGTGCACTGACGCTAGCATTATGAGTGTACTAAAGGTGTTACATAGTTCACAGTGCACTAAGCACCAAGTAACATCTAATGTCAGTGCACAGTAAACCAGTCAGAATTGCCCTGATGAAGATGACAGACGGTCATCGAAACGTCGGCTCGTAAAAAATAAATGGTTGTGATCAAAGAACTTTGCTATTCATTCGAAATTCGTTTACCAACCTGATGAAATTATTAACGGGTATCTTAATCATAATATAGTACATGGGGTACTCCGAGAAAGCATAATGGAATGGCACAGGAAGTACCCTCTATATTAAGAAGGATTACGTTTATTTAAAGAGTGCTAAATGGGTGCTAAGGACAATTTTTGTAAGATGAGTGTAAAGATTAATAGCTTCCGACGTTTCGACTTTGCTGATAGCTTAATTGACATATCGCCAAAGGGGAGGGGAGATATCTTTCCAGCTATTCATGTGGTCTAGAGTCAGTATCTATATAATATTATATTTCAAACCTCAATTACGACGGTGTTAATAGTGACACCATAACCCTAGCGCTCTATAACTAGGTTTATGGGAATTGGATATGAATTAAAATGGAATTTAGGAAATATTTGGAGCACTTACTGCTACGATACATGGCGATGAAAAAAATCTCTCCAAGTCCGCGGCGACTACACGGGGAAGGTCGGAGACATGGTCAACAAGTCTGAGCTGGAAATCTTAAAGAAAGACCCTGACGTCAAGATCACCTGGTTCATGTCTTGGGACGATGAGTTTCTCCCTGGTAAGACGGAGTTTGCGGCGGTTTGGACGTACGGAACGACCCCTGACGACGCGAAGAAGAAGTGCAGGGAAGTGATGCAGCGCGTGGTGAAGAAACCTGAGCAGTTGAAGTTTAACTTCCCATAATAACTGAAAAACAGCACACTGTATGAGACTTTAGAATTCACAGAGAAAGGATGAATGAACAATGTTAAACATAGCCATTCTTACAAACTCTCCTATCAATGCCAATTGTCATGATCATGATACGGGTATACAGCACAACAGATTACTTGATATACGTACCCGTCCAGCATTTTTATCTTTCAAAAACAAACAAAAGGATTCTGTCATAACTGTTTTGTTGCTTAGTTAATTAGTGTTAGGTCTTGCTTCAGGTAAATCAACGTTCATTGTATTGCGTTAGAACTTAATCTTTGGGATTAATATTGCTTCAAAATACACCTGCGATTAATTAATTATGCGAATTAGGTCGAAGTTTGCATAATCAATATCTGTCTGTGTTTCGTTCTCAGTTACATAGACCACAAGCTTGAACAGTTCTATCATGTAATGCAACTGATTTATCGCATTTCCTCATAAATTATGCAAATTGCATTCATTTTTGCATAATTTCTACATCATTATGTCAAGCATTACCTGAGGTACCTACATACCGAAAATAACGATGATCCGTCAACTTGTTCTTGAGTTATACTCTTTTGAATATTATTAAACAACTGCCCCTGCATTTCCATAGCAAACCGCTAGGGGGCCCAGACTCACGTTTTCCCAAGAGCTACCTATCTAGCTACCTATCTACATAAATTCCATGAGCCTAGCCTGTCTATGTCATAAGATATCAAAACTTGTTCCGCTGCAGTACCACAAGAAGCCGCTAGGGGGGCCAAAATCACTCCCAGGTCCCATCGAGACCTGCCCACCTACCAAATATTAACTTGTCAATCCATTTAAGCCTCTTCAAGTTATCGTGTTTACAGACAGAAACACATAAACACAGACACACACACACACACAGAGAGAGAGAGAGAGAGAGAGAGACGCACACACAAAACATAACCTTCCTTGCGAAAGTAACAACAAAACACGAACTAAGCCAAATCTAAGCCAAATTTAGAATACAATCATACGTTGTCCCACGTGTGATCTTGTTCAAAGCTCAATAATTCCAGGACCAATGATCGCCAAACATGTCAATTTTAGAAATTAATCTATTCAATTTTGATTAGTACTAATATTCAAACAATCCATTATGACTAGTATAATTGAATCATGTAGGGCAATCGGAAAGACATGTTGTCGGTAGAAATGAGGACTGAATTTTTGTCCCCAGAAGATCTCACAAACAGAGTCTCCTGCAAGCAAGCTGGACCCTCTATGCCCGGCCAACTCCTCTGGCCAATGATGTCCTCCTGAGCCGATTTCTACTATTTATTCAGCCTGCAAAGGAGTCTGGTGGAGACTATAGAGGATCCATGACATTTGGATTGCTGATTTTACATTCTGTGCCAAAGGGGAACCTTTTAACGTTCTTCCGGTATGGTCGCTTCTGGATGTGGAGATAAGCCAAACACACCCCTGTTACACTGGGTCATGCATGCTCCTTTTCCTGTAAACCCTGAACGTCAGCCAAATTCACATGTGAGAAGTACCGTGGCCGATAGGGACAATTCTGCTCAGCAACGTCAGTGTAGGGAAGACATAAGTCAGTGTAGGGAAGACATAAGTCAGTGTATGGAAGACAAAAGGCAGTGTAGGGAAGACAAAAGTCAGTGTAGGGAAGACAAAAGGCAGTGTACGGAAGACAAAAGGCAGTGTAGGGAAGACAAAAGTCAGTGTACGGAAGACAAAAGTCAGTGTACGGAAGACAAAAGTCAGTGTGTTGAGCAGAATTGTACCTATCGGCCACGGTAGAGAAGGATATGCCCTACATTACTCTTCCTGATGTTGGCTGAATAGCAGTGCAGTTAAATCTTTGTAACCCTGACTGAAAGACGCAGTTAAGACAGACTCCCCGAGACTTTAAGGAGTTTGAAGACTGATAACTTCCTTGCATCCTAAGGTGAGTGAACTTCTTTTGCTACCCTACATGGCACGTGGCGTTTTTTCTGGCAATGAGAGTTTAAAAATTTGTTGGAACGTTTGGTTCACGCATCATAACAAAATGTCAAACAGGGAAAATGTCAGTAGGCACAACGTTGGAACACTGTCAGCCGCCTTCTGACCTATTTAATTTGAGGTAAGAGATTTGAGGAACTTTCTATAATTACCATATCTTAAGGCATGTATAGATATATAGAAAGGAGATTTTATATCTTAAATAAAACACAACTGTTACATAAACCACGAATGGTTATTTGAATCAAAATAAAATACCAAATGACCAAAGTTTCTGTCCATTTTGTCCAAACATGATTGAAAATGGGCATTGTACACTATACAATGATAAGCGCCTATTGCTGTTCACCTTTCTCCCCGCTTGTTCAATTGATTTCAATACGTTAGATCCTATAGATGAATGCAACTACATTCTCAGGGGAGATAACCAATACAGTGTTCAAATAGGAAAATACATTAAAGAATGTTTCGATCCTAGAGACCACATAGTTAAACCTTTATTGTTACCGCATACATATACTCTGTACGTAAGATGACGTTATCCACACGTCAGTTTAGCTTTGTTAGAAAACCATACAAAAGTCCCTGTACTTTTTTTGGTTTGTCAATAAAGAATCTGTATTAAAGACGGCCTACCTTACACACCTTTGTTTTATTGTTACAGATACCGCTAAAATCTGGGCCCCACAGTCCTTTCTTCAAGGATAGAAAAAGGATCATTATTAAGGACCTCTGTCAAGGTTAGTTGCCTTCGTTAGTAGGCTATGTTTTCGTTTGGGCTTAGTGGACCAGCCTAAACCGGGTCTGTATGTAGATCAATATTATAACTTAGATAGTTATGGATGGGACTTCCGATATTTGGTATGTGGCTAGCTGCGACGGAAGTGAAGTTCGAGTTGAAAAAAAGTGTACCTGGCCTTTTCAAGCGTTTTCCGGCATTTGTCACACGTTTCAGGTTCATGATTTTTGGACAGTTGAAATCTGTTGTGGATGGGATTAAACAGTGTAATTTTGGGCCTCCCAGTAGCTAATTTCGAAATGCAGTGGGCGTTTTTGTTTTTAACGTTAGAAGCTAATAACTCAGGCTAGGGTTGATGAATTTGCATATCATACGTAGTGTAGCGTTGCTGATAACATTGCTGATAATGTGTCGCAAGTTATATCATATTATATGCAGCAGGTTTATAGAATTTCCTCGTTGATTATGTAAATAACACAACATATAAGTGTCATCTGATTATGTCAAGAATCATTTAAGCTACCTACATGATCTATCAACCGTATCATGAGTTATCGCCCTTCAAATATCATTAAGCAAGAGATTATGCAAATTCATTCAAGGAGATTTGCTTTTGTGGTAATGGGGAATGGGTATTTACAATGGTATGAAGCTAAGTAGTGTGGCACAACATAAAACCATTGTGAATAGTTCATGATCGAATTACAGTTGAAAATCAGTGGAAGGTTTTCGAACTTCGGACCAGGTAGAAGCCTAACGGTTTTGGCCTATGAAAATGACGATGCATCGATACTATAAGAACGTTGGATTTTTCCAAATTTGCAATACCAACACAGATTAAACTTTTGTGCCAATGTACATGTATCTCATATATCTGTTGTACAGGCGACACTTCAGTATGTCTAACAGATCGAGGAGGATGCTGGTTCTTCTGCTGATCATCTTGAAGGAAGCTGGCCCGACAGCAGCCTGCAACAGCGGCTGTTCATCATCCTGGTGTCTGTGCAGCAGCAGAGGTCTCGACAGTGTTCCTCAGGACCTGCCTACAACCATCACTGGGCTTGTCTTGGATAACAACAACATCACAACCTTAAGTCAGTCTGATTTCTCGAGGTATAGGGGCTTGAGAACATTATATCTTAGTTACAATCAGATCTCAAAGATCCAAAAGACAACATTCCACAACTTAACCAACCTGACTTACCTGGACCTTAATGATAATCATTTGACCAAACTAACAGTTGGAATGTTTACGGGACTTGGTAATCTGTGGAACTTGTATCTTTCCAATACCACGTTAACCAGTCTGCCAACTGGCATCTTTCTGGGCCTTGGCAATCTGCGGAGCTTGTATCTTTCCAATAACAAGTTAACCAGTCTACCAGATGGCATCTTTGTAGGTCTTGGTAAACTGTGGAACTTGAATCTTTCCAATAACAAGTTAACCAGTCTACCAGCTGATATATTTCTGGGTCTTAGTAATCTGCGGAACTTGTATCTTTCCAATAACGCGCTAGCTAGTTTGCAAGCTAACATATTTGGGGACTTGGTAGCCTGGAGACGTTGTTTCTTCCCAATAACCAATTAAGAAGTCTGTCAGCTGATATATTTGTGGGAGTTCGTAACTTAGATACCCTTGATATTGGCAAAAACGATATCCACAGTATCGAGGTAGGCACCTTCAATGACACAACAAAACTACGTTATCTAGATCTTGGGTACAACAACATCAGCACCATCACAGCCGACACATTAGGGAATCTACTTCAGCTTCAAACACTGAGACTTTCTCATAACGCCATCAAAACCTTTCCTGTAGAGCCTTTATCACGCCTGAATATTTCAGTGCTGTCAGAGCTTACATTAGATTATAACCAACTAGAGACACTCCCAGTCATGGCATATGACATACTGGCTTCCCTTTCAAAACTCAACATTTCCAACAACCCCTGGCAATGTGACTGTAGGATGGCGCCCTTTAAGCAGAGGTTTTACCGATTTGAAAGACAGATTATATGTGCCGGACCTGGTAACCTTACTGGGCAATACTTACTGGATGTGAATCCTGAAGACCTGATCTGTGAAGAGACGACACCAGTTTACTCCACTTTCAGCACAAAACACATTACTCTTAGCTTGTTTCCTGTCAGAAGTTCGTCTCCTTTTTATCAGTCAACATCTCAGCCACCAACATTGTCCCCAACACCGACCACTGATGACTCTAACACAAACTGGGCTACAATCAGTTCCTCTCCATTTAACCCTTCAGCAAAGTCAACATCAAAGCCACCGACATTGTTCCCAACATCTAGCACCACCCCCACTACTGACTCTAACCATGGCTGGTCTACAGTCAGTTCTTCTGCATTCAACCCTTCAGCAAAGTCAACATCAAAACCACCAACATTGTCCCCAACACCGAGCACCACCCCCACTGCTGACTCTAACCCTGGCTGGTCTACAGTCAGTTCCTCTCCATTTAACCCTTCAGCAAAGTCAACATCAAAGCCACCGACATTGTTCCCAACATCTAGCACCACCCCCACTGCTGACTCTAACCCTGGCTGGTCTACAGTCAGTTCCTCTCCATTTAACCCTTCATCAAATTCAACATCAAAGTCACCGACATTGTCCCCAACATCTAGCACCACCCCCACTGCTGACTCTAACACAAACTGGTCTACAGTCAGTACTGAGTTTCCCTTCGGTTTTCGGTCGACAAGGGTAGAAAGCAATACTGGGCTTGCTAATGGTGGCATTCTCATGTCTGTGCCCTTGCTTGCCACTTTGTGCGTTTTCCTTGGATTATTTAGTATTTGCACTATTGTGTTCACAGCAAGGTGCATGTATAAGAGGAGGCATAGAGATCCTACTCCTCTGAAAAGCTCTACCAACACAAATGTGACAGACAAGCTCAATGCTCATGAGCAGATAAGACTACAGGGACTTATAACAAATGCAGGCATAAACATTGAATCTAAAACACCACATCATGATACAGAAGACAGCAAGCATATCTATAACCTCCCAACAAATGATGATCCTGATCAAGCAGAGTACGACACCATAGGTGCCGTCAATCAGTCAGAAAGTCCACACCATGGTGCAGGACAGCTTGACAGTTTTGGTTATTTAGTTTTACCTCCTTCTCTTCCTCCTAGGTCTGAGAATCAAACTGACTATCAGGCTGATTCCCAGATTAAACCAGCAGATGCAGCCTCTCGTAGAATCGGTGGTTGTGACACATTGACAGATGAGACAGAGTATGACGATGGTGCAAGAAACAGACAGAGTCTTGACAGCTTTGGTTATTTAGTTTTGCCCCCATCTCTCCCCCCTATGACTGAAAATCAAACTGGCTATCAGGCAGATTCCCAGATTGAATCAGCAGATCCGGCCACTCGAACAATCGGTGGTTGTGACACATTGACAGATGAAACAGAGTATGATGACGTCCTTAGCCAGTCGCAAAAATCGCAACCAGAATCAGAGCAAATGCAGGATCTCGGCAACCTTAATGATGGCTACGAGGTTCCATCTCTGTCCCTCTGCCCTGGAGAAGGTCCACAGTCCCACAAACATGAGGACAGCCGCGTGACAGCAGCTGCCAAAGATGCTGCATCTGATCCGCAGGTTATGACGTATGAGAATGATTCAGGCTACGAGGTTCCATCTCTATCCCTCTGCCCTGGAGAAGATCCACAGTCCCACAAACATGAGGACAGCCACATGACAGCAGCTGCCAAAGATGCTGCAGCTGATCCACAGGTTATGACGTATGAGAATGATTCAGGCTACGAGGTTCCATCTCTGTCCCTGTGCCCTGGAGAAGGTCAACAGTCCCAAAAACATGAGAACAGCAGCTGCTAAAGATGCTGCAACTGGTCCGCATAGGTTATGACGTATGAGAATGAGTCAGACAGCAGCTGCCCCTAGTGCTGACAACCCTGACCACCATGAACCCGGAACACCAGCAGTTAGCAGCAGCACACATACACACATCCCTGCTGACACATTGTTTACAAGTAGATGTTCCCTTGCAGTAGATTTTAAAGAATACGACTCAAGAATTATTCATTGATCAATCGCAGTAAACTTAATACAAGTTACTGAATTGCGAATCAATGTACATTTCATTATTTTAAAATCCAAAAGTTTATAGTATTGCACATAATGAAGTTAAAATTCAGAGTCATTAGGTAGTTAAAAAACAGAATCATTAGAATGACTACATAGACCACAATAATTAGACATACTACAACCACAATACAACAGTTAATAAATAAAATAAATATACGAAGCAATGGTCGGCAGATGTATAGTCAGTGAAACGCAGTTTGGGTGGTGGAAGTGGAAGGGATAAACTCCACCTGCCCCAATACCAAATCCCCAATAATAATTGGCAAATACCGAGTGGCTAACAACCCATGACCACATATGGGCTAGGGCTGCGTACCTAAACGTAACATCAGGTACAGGTACAGGTACTGGTACAGAGGTTTAGGTACAGGTCCGGACCTGTACCTGTACCTGAACAATTTGACAAATTAACACGTGTTCTTCACTTTTTCAATCATGACACAGAAACAATAATAAAGTGTTGGAGGGAAGGGAAAATGACTGACCTCTGACCTAATTTGAGTTTGTTGACCAATCACAACCCTGGATCAGCCACACTCTCGCGATGTCTCGTGAGACTGAGGATCTCAAATCAATCGACGGTGTTTACGTCTTTTCCAGTGCTAATTTTTCGTCTTTGTGGTAGGATTTACCTATCTTTAGTCATATACATGGTGTAAACTAGCTATTTCGGTATATACTCGTTACTTCATGATCCGGTATTTTGGACCTGTACCGAAACGATTTTTACGGTATTGGACCGGTACAGTGTACCGGTCCGCAGCCCTAATATGGGCTATGGGATCTGTGTGTATCTTTAAGCTATTTTATGGATCTAGTGGCTTGAAATTCCATTTACATTCAATTGCAAGGGTGGGCGCTATTTCTGTTGAGAGATCTTGCTTGAAATAAATTATACAAGAAAGTTGTGTAAAAAAGTTTGCATGTCAGACATGGGACTTTCATATATAGCAAGACATCAGTTGTTTCAAACTATAGTATGAAATTTACATAAAGAAACTGTGATTGGTATAGAGTTTTAATGAAACCTAGCAATTCCCATGTTAGGGTTACGACTTTACTGTGGATACTTAGTTATACAAGTAATGTCAACTATGGACATGATGGTTCTTGCTTACAATTTGATTGTAAAATTATATAGTTTTTGTACAATGTCTAAAACTGATAACATCAAGTAGTATTTTCAAATACTCTTAGACTAGTGCTTTTAGCAGCTTAAAGAGTTATATTACATACTTATCACTATATACAATCATTTCATTTCAGTTACATAATACTATACATTATATATCATTTTAAAGCTAACAATGGGAAAGAACGTGCTTGGCCGTGATACAAACTATAAGAAAAGAACAGAAATGTATTTTTGCAAGAGCAACTTACTTATAACACTTACTAAAGATATACAAGTATTACTAAGTATTGTAATTATCCTTTGACATATATCCTGCAATGTAATGTACTGTGACAAGTTCAACTCAATAAATGCTACATATCGAGGGAAAGTAAACTGTGTTGGCTTTGGTGAGTTACTCTTGCACTTGTAAAGTTTAAGTTGCAAAAAAGCATGACTAGGGTGAACAACTCCATAAACCTATAGACCTGACATGAAATGCTGATTCCACCACACGGCAAAATATGATGGGGAGCTTTTGAAGAGGACAACACAACGAACAAATGGTTCATGGATTGTGTTTTGCAAACCGTGTAATAAGGCCGAAAAAAATCATTTATTTGGCAGTAAATATGTGGTTAATAGGTGGCGTCGGTGGCGCAAAGGTTAGAGCGTTGGACTCGGAATCGAGAGGTCCAGGGTTCGATACTCACCGTGGCCCGACGTTGTGCCCTTGGGAAAGGCACTTTACACGACTTCCCCATATATATAATGGTGGAGTGACGCCCACCGAGCCTCTTAGGCTAATCTGTCTGTCTGGGTGCCAAAAACACCTTACGGATTTGGTGCGCCGATGTGACAACATCTCATATTGGCCACTGAGAGCTGTTAATTTCCTGTAACATTATTACGTTACAGTCTCTTTACCACAATGAATGCCGGGACAGTTTGTGGTCAATAGAACTTTATGTTGTACAGGTATGTGTGTTTGTGTAGCGTTAGCCTTGCTACTTTTGTCTACTGCCACAACTAAATCACCCATTACGCCATGTAATGCTGTGACACAGCCTGTATCAACAAAACTAGACGCAGCAAAACTCAGCCAAACCAAGTTTTGGAGACTTGAAATGATCTTTATTCTTTAACTGACCGTTATAGAAAGTTCTTTAGAACAGGTAAACAAACTGTGACGTCATAATGTAATAGGGCTGCAAATTTCCCACCTTTTCTACAATCCGATGTTCGATTGTGTTCGATCTTGGTAATTTGAACCGAACACGCATTCCATTTGATGTCACCCGCTGTCCATTTGTTATGGTAACTGAAAAAAGTGACGCTTTACCAACTTAAAGTCGCCTCTTGTTGCAGCTAAGAGAGCTTAAATGCTTATGGTACGTGACCAAAGAGTGGCTTTGGAAGAATACTAGTATAGGATTAACGTACTTTTTTATGTGGAATTTGTTTACCTACTCTGTCAAAAGTGTGTTAAAAATAAAAAAGGGTTTCTAATTTAGGGCCTTGGGCTCATTGGAAAGGGTGATTGCGTTATAGATGTGCTTTACTGTGTTCCCGGAGGCTTTTACATATTGAAAACATGTTAAGTAAGGTACTTACAGGCCTGGTCTTTAATTGAGATGCAAATCCTCACCAATTCCCACGGCCATGAATTAAAGTTCTCACAAGCCAGCAGTGTTTGAGTTGGAGTGAAAAGCTCTTTTAAACCAGCAGTGCAGTGTACACTGGGCACTTCTAAAGAGGTGAGTGTTAACCTTTTCTTGTATTTCCATTCTTCTTGCCGTTACCTTTACTGTACTTCATACGTCTTAACAAATTTTACTTCCTCTCAGTAAATATAAGGCAGGTCTTAAGCTATAATTAACAGCACGTCTATCTTCAACCAAACAAAAAGTACAAATGCAGCTGTGCTGTCTAGTGTCTAGTACTGAACTCCCCTGAAGGTCAAAACCAGTTTATGAATGCCTCTCTCTCTCAGTCGTTTTGCAAAAAGGTAACGTCGTTTTACCAACTTAAATACGACTCTTGAAGCAGCTAAGAGGCTTTGAATGCGTTTGATACGTGGCTGAAGAGTGGCCTTGGAAAACGTATCGGATTAACATTGTACTGGTCGCGACGCCGAGCTTCTAGTGTGGGCAGGCTTGGTTTTAGCCTGCGTACGTAGGGCCAAGTATTAGATCCATGGCTGTACAATTGGTTGATTTTGGTGATAGTAGGACATTAGTGACGGCCCGTGACGCATGTGTTTTCATTGCCGAACATTTTCTATCTTGGTAATGTTCGTCTTTGACTGATTTGGCTCTGAGTCTCGAAATGATTGATTGAACGAGGAGCTAACATATATCATCTTATCTTTTTATTCTGTTTTCTTTAACCAGGGTGACCCTCTCAGTGGCTACGCACTGCATTGCAGTGGGGCCCTGGGCACATAGTATATACAACACACATATGATACAAGGAACAAAACAATGTAAAACATACAGAAGTAACAAGAGGACAAAACAAACATGTCATCAAATACAAAGCCAGTATCCATACTCATAGTCCATATACCGGTCCGTTCATCATTAGATCAGATGAGGTTTATCCTTTATCAGATTATCCTTTCCTTTATTAAAGTTTCTCGGAGATGTCGTCCAAGAAGCAGTACCCAAACGGCGAGGCAGCTCTGGAAGGTTCTCGAAGATGTCGCCATGGGAACTGCTGGATCAATGGAATCGTCCTGGCACTGTCAGGAACAGCAAGTGTGGTCAGTTTTGTCGCCCTGCTGTTCATGGTGGTGGAGATCACCACAATCCGGGAACAGCAAACAGCGTTCATGACAGAGATTCGTGATCACCAAACGGCGTTTCAGACAGATCTGCAAAAAGAGGTACAAAGCCTAAAGGATCAGGTGGTCCTGATGCAATTGAAACAAGACAAGGAGGCCAGAAACAAGGTAATAGGATGATATTGTCATTTATATTAGGCAAAAACAAACTTAGGATGGTTTCGTCACATTACTATTTTTCGCCCGTAACCAGAGGCCGCATTAATTATAGATTTTTTGGTGAAATGGTTGAAACGTCAACAATTTTCAATGTTTAAATGTTCTACTGTTTATGAGCACATGCTATTATGTGAAGCTCAGAGTTGTAATAAGCAGCTTTGATGTGCAAGATAGAAAATGTTCATCACGAGTAAAATGGCTTTAAATGTAATTGTGTTTTATCATAGTAAAGTATGCCAGTGACAGTACCTACAGTGCCAGTGAGTGTAGGTACTGTAATTGCCTTATAGGGCTCAGCTTGGTCAACTGAAGGCTGGCGACGTGATCACAGCGCCACCTTTTGGAAAAGTTCGGAGGAGCACCACAGAGCCAAGAGGAACTCAGAGGCCAACACTGTACTCATCCTTGGAAAACGTTCAGGTAAATAAAGTTTACGTACCGGTTTAATTTGTCACTCTGTTGACTGTACAAACTGTAATGGCTAACATATGGTGTTCTCTGGTGTTTCTTTTCCTTCTCCTAATACGTTAAATAGATTCAATTTCTTCATTTTGGGGCCAAACGACATGAAATTTGGCATGAAGGTAGAGTGCCCAAATACCCCAAGACGTTTTTTTCTTCTTTTTTCTTTTGGATACAGACTTTTAAAACAGTTTTATTTGGCTACTTTCTGACAAAATCTATACATTTGGGATCCTGGAGACCTAATATTACACACAAATCATCTTTGTGGAACGGGTTTAACTTTGGGGACCAATTGACCTGATGACATTTAGAATCTCCAAGCAGATACATGGTGGCATGGGTAGGTAATCTTGACCAGATACACAGTGGTCTTCAAGCAGATACAGGGTGGCATGGATTCTGTCAATCTACATGTTCCAACAGCAAAAGGCATTTTGAACAGGGGTGATTTAGCAACAATCCATTTGTGTGGGAGCTAAATAGGTCCATTTTTGGTATGAGGGATGTGGTTAAGCCATAGTGCATTTACTCCCGCCTTTCTAGTTTGTAAATAGAATCTTGAAGAAGCTTTGAAGAATAATAATTGAGTGAATGTTTGTCAAACTAACAGACTTCTTCGAATGTCTGTCTGGACCCCCCGCGACGGATGGAAGAGACGGTTCGCAGAGTACGACGAGTTCACCCGGACTTGCTCGGCAGGTAAGATTGGGAAACTTTAGGCCACAGCAAGTAAATTTTATGGATGACATTCTCCGCAGGCTCCAAATATAATGCGAGCGGGCGAAAAAAAAACAAGACGGGTAAAAAAAAAGTTTCTACATTTTAAAATTTTGACTCAATCAGATGGTTTTCACACAGTGGAAACATCACATATACACAGCCAGCATCACATATCACTGCATCAAAGTAAGAAACAAAACATTAAATCAGAGCCTTTTCTTGTCTCCTCTCTTCATAGTTATCTGCCATCCATCTTCTGGTATGGCAGCAGACATCTTTGACCATTTTCTACATGTTAACCACTGTCAGAAGGCATGCAACAAAATTTCTTGTTTTTTTTTCCGAAATCAGGCGAAAATTAATGCGCGCGCTGATGTCATCCATAAAAATTACTTGCTGTGGCCTTATAGACATATGCACCGTAGTGGCGCTTACTGCACAAAAAGTCAGGTTTATCACAAAAAGGTAAATGTGATGTGAAGTCGTAGTTTTACCCATCGTTAAATGTGCAAATAGACCGCAGATTTACCAGCATAGTAAAGTGGGTAATGTTTGTTTTACCCACATTTACCAGGTTCGGATAAAGGTGTATGTAGCAAGATTTACCGTATAAGGTATTTCTCACGTGTATTTAGGGCATGTAGCGAGATTTACCATACGCGTATTCATCAGATGCGTTTAGGGGACTTTCCGAGTGGAGTATATCTGACAATTAGTTCAATATACCCAGAATTACCAGATTATACATGTCTTACCCGAAAGATTTGCTCTACGACGCCCCCCCCCCCCTACCCTCATACAGTTAGCCAATTACGCTGAATCACTTCCCCGAATTACAAGCAAAAGAACTGGGATTTAGACAGAACTCAGACATATTTAGTAAATGTAGACATTGACGGTGACATTTTCTAAACGCCGACAAGCCACAAGACTGTCAGGACATTCTCGACAACGACGATCCAACGCCGAGCGGCGTGTACATGGTTTATCCACGGGACAACCTGGGCGGCTTCCCGGTCTTCTGTGACATGGACACCGACGGAGGCGGCTGGACGGTACGTTTGGTCATTTTGATAACTATTTGAAATGTGGAATACACTCAGCTGCATTTTTTTTACTTTATTGAGAGATTTTTGTTGTTTTATTTTCATTTTTAAGCATATGAATTTTGCAAATAAACATGGATGTCGGTTGCTAGGACCTTCTTTCTCGTTGCTAGGCGCGTTCGAAAAAGTATCGGGTTACAAGACGCAATATTTAGGCAAATCGTAAAATATTTGAAATTGAATAATATATATATAAAAAGGGAGAATTACATTAAAAATTAGGTAAATTACTGCCATAACATGCTTGTAATGATGTTATTTTATTTTGGATGGCTGATTTTTTTAGCCCATAAGGACCTTATTCGCATGATCTATAAGAAAAGGGGAGTCTCGTTTGCATAATTTATAAAAGAATGCAAAGTATGATCTGGCTTGGAGCAGATAGGGGTCCACATGCAAAGGGGATTGATTTTATGAAGCTGTGGACTGTACATTTACTGAAATTCTAAAAATTTGTTGTTGGTCTTAAAGTTGTTCCAGAGACGCCAAGACGGAACCGTGGACTTCGACCGGGGCTGGGCGGACTACAAGACGGGCTTCCCTCCCAACCTGAACGGTGAGTTCTGGCTGGGGAATGACAACTTGTACCGCCTGGCTGTGCAGAAAGTCTACCAGCTCAGGGTAGATATGGAGGATGTGGAGGGAAACACGGCGTACGCCGCTTACGACACGTTTGCCATCTCATCTGAACCCCAGAACTACAAACTCCACATAGGGACTTACAGCGGTACTGCTGGTAAGATTGTGATGACGTCGTAATGATTAGATTACATTTCAGGCCCGGCCGCGCAAATTTGGAGAACCAAAATATACAAGACAAAAATACACAAATAGTTTGTAACAATTAACCATGAGCGCTATCCGTGTATATTCTTAATTTGAATAATTGCTTATTTTTCGTTCACGTAAACAGCCCAACCGGACCCCGGCTTAGAAATGTGACCTCAGCATAACACGGAGTTGTGTGAATAGATGTGGCAAAAATTGTAAACTTGTCGTGATGTTGCAATGTCTCTAAATTATGAATCTATTTTACCTTCCAGACTGGGGAGGTAGATGGAGTAAACTATGTTTTATTAGCTCCAGAGCCTGTCGGCCTTTTGAAGTTTTTTTTCACATATTTGTTCATGCATGTACGTAAGAAGAGGGATTAAAATAAAGTGAATTACAAAATTACTGACTAAAGTAAAAACTTCAGATCCAACACAATATAGACAAAAACCTTATTGTGTTGTATCTTAAGTTTTAACTTTCAACATGTAACTACCAACACAGATGAACTTTAATGATAGTATAAAAACATTGTGTGCTGACGTCCAATACAGATGTACTTTCAGGCTAGTTCAAAGACACTCTTTTTGGCGACGTCTCAGGGAGGAGCCTAATGATACAGTATTGTGTGCAGTTTGCAAGAATTCTAGGAATTGTACAATAATCATGTCCACAGGCATGGAATGTCCACAGGCATGTCTCCCAGATCTGTTTGTTGACATCCAGTTTACATGGGAAGACCTGTCTGCCCTGCATACCCTACTTTCTGTGACCCTGGTGCTTGTTCACTATACACTCAGGGGAGGGGAGGGCACCAAGTCTTCCTCAAAATCATGAAATCATGACAGTGCCATGCAAACAATAACCCTAACAGCAACCGCCGGCGCCATGGCAAAGTATGTTTTCATTGTCAATCTTGTTGTATGCGTGCTTTTTTTTCTGCTGGCCACAGGAGGAGGTTTCACCGTAAAGGCACAGTCCTCAGGCTGGGATGAGCTGGTCGCAGGAAACAGCACGTACATCGTCAGTAACGGGCGAAAGACCAAAATGGATGATGCTGGTAAATATATGAAGCATGTTTAAACTGCAATTTCCAACACAACAAATTGGACTCACCCAAATTTTCGACTGCACAACTCCAGTCTTTGTCAAGGAATGAACAATCCACCGCTTCCGTGACGTCACGCAGATAACACACGTGACTCCGTGAGCAGTGGATCATAGGTTGTAGAAAATCTGTGGCGCCCCCCGTCTCTGTTGAGGGATGGTTGTAATGCCATGATGTAGATCCCCTGTCAATCGAGTAAAAATCACAAGAAATATTTGAGGGTACCCGGGTTTTGAGCATATTTCATTTGCAATTGCAGTTGAATGGTGGCGAGGGCACCAGGTGTTCATTCTGAATGAGCGGACCGGAGAAGTAGTAGACAATGCTGCTTTCGATACGTATATTTTGGAGGGAGGAGGCGCTGAAGCGGCGGAGCAACTGATAACCTTTCTGAACGGCGTTGCAGAGGTAATCACAGTCAATATACTGTCACTGCGACAAGAAGTGGCTTAGTCATGTTACATAACTTTGATATGCTATTTCGAAACGTTAATTGTATATCCCATTTGGGCAAACGAGCTGTATACCCCATTTGGGCAAATGGCACGAACTCGGTCATCAGGTCTTTCAAGTACAATGAGCGTTGCAACAAGCATTTCATTTTACCGTTACTGCAATATTGATAATGAATGAAATATGCTTTACCACAGACATATATAAGAATAAGTGTCTAAATGAACATTAGTTGGAACTTTTGAATAACGTTTGTAATATCATGTAATATTACGGGTATATCTTACAATTCTGTTATCTTTGTTCCCTTGTCGCTACAGGGACGGATCATAGCTATCGTTGTACATGACAGCGCCGATGCCCTCGCCAATCTAACACAATACGGATCTACAATTGCAGCTACTCCACTCGGTATCGTATCTGTTCTTGGCTCCTTATATTCACGACAGATGTTTTAAGAATATTCAGATCTTCTGAACAAAATCTGTTCTACTAAAGGCAGATCATCGCTATCTTGTAGATCTGGAAAAGATAGGAAACATTGAGGCAAACAAAAGTTGACATCATTGGATTACAAAGTAATTAGCAATCAGCAGAAAAGGCCTTTTTTCAGCTTCTTTCACAATTTGTTTCCTCTTCGATGTCTTTAATCGGCTATGTATAATTTGCCCAAATTTCATTTCTCGTTCCTATGAATTAAGTTGGAGAATTTCATTCAAGATACATTAATTTAAGCATCTATACAATGTAGATAAGTCATGCTTTTGTACTGATATTTTGTCTTGGTACTTGACAAGTTTCACAATCATACATATGGAGAATTGAATATATCCCATGACAGGGTACAGAGAGTCCTACGCCATGATCACTCAGAAGGGGTCGATTCCATCGTGGTTCGTGGAGAAAAAGAGCGCTATGGGTGCGGGACCAACCATTGTAGAGGCCTACATACCCACAGGTAAAAAAATGTCATTCTTCTAATTCATTTGCACTGTATGTGGTAATGATAGTTTCTGCAATAAGGGTCATTATTATAATTCAACTATTTTCCATCAAAAGACATGAATATAATTTAAGCTACGGCAAATGGAGCATTAACAAATTTCAATTATGGAAATAAGGGACTAATTTAGACGATTAATTTTAAAATGCCATAATTTACTTTGGCCAACTCGACAAAATAGATAGTACGATCCTAAACCTTATTTTAACACAAAATCGACATGTATTTTGAGTAGGTCTTGGGAAGACAAACTCCTGATGAGGGCGACAGTGGTCGTTGAATATTTGATCCCAGTACAATTGCGTGTTGGAATACATTTTTACTATATAAAAACATGTTAGTGTAAAACAAGAATCAACTGTTTGCCTTTTTTTCATAGATGCCAGCTTGACGCCACTTCAAATGAAGCCATTCAGTACCAAGGACAGAGATAACGACGAGAGCTCGTCAGACTGTGCTACGGAGTACAGAGGTGGGTGGTGGTACGGAGATTGCCACACCTCCAACCTGAACGGCCTGTACCATCTGAGTTCTAATGACGGCGTTAACAGGCAGGCATGGGAGGGTTTTGGGAACCCTCTAAGGCGCACGGAGATGAAACTCCGACCGGCTCCATAACGTCACACTTTTATAGATGCAAAGATTTACCTGCTCATAGGCTGAAAATTTTAATTTTGATGTTTTGGTTTAAATACTTTGGCATTTCTTAAAGGTTTTTTAAGAGCCAATAAAGAATTCTGCAGGAGGCTAAGGCCCAGGAAAAATGTTTTGGTTCCGGCTTTCCGACCGACCCTTGCAGAAACCCACCTACCCTAGTCTTTCCTTTTCGAACTTTAGTAAGATTATTAGATTTTATATCTATTATCTGAATTTCAAATGCTCACAATTTTGGAAACATCACCTAACTTATAACGTAATGTCTTCTTCTGAGTATTTTCCACAAGCAAACCGATGGGTCTTTGAGACCGTACCAATACATTGTTAAGCTTTATTCAATAATAAACTTTATTTGTTGGATCATTTTAGCTGAAGAAAAAAAGCTTTCAAATCTATATATACCTACGGCTCCTACTTTTTTTAGACCCGAAGCCGGAAACACAACATTAACTTTCCTAGGCCTAGCCTAAGAGAAATAAAGAAACTTGAACCTCCCCATAGACTTCTTGTGTAGCTGACAATTCGTGTTCATTACAAGGCAGGGCATATCACGCAACATTACACATTCCAGCAAACAATAGCTGAACAAGGTATCAATTCAAAAGGGTGAATTGTTAGGTTGCATAGTAATATTCACAACATTAAGTTAACGTGGCGTCGTGTGGTGTAGTGGTACATCACTGGACTATGAAACGGGGAGACCCGGGTTCGATTCCGGGTCGTACCCGAACAAGTCCGAACATGCGCCCCGACGTTGTACCCTTGGGAAAGGTACTTTACACGACTTTCCTCACCTCACTCAGGTGAAAATGAGTACCTAGCTTCGGCTAGGGACGTCCCTCGAATAGGACGTTAAATGGAGGTCCCGTGTTTGGGAACGCCACACCCCACGCACGTTAAAGAACCCACCACACTTATCGAAAAGAGTAGGGGACCTTCCCGGCGTGAGTGGTTCAAACATTACAGTCTGGTCTCAGGTTTGACATCTTTGAAAATGTGATAGTCACCAGTTATGTCAATCCTTCCACAAATGTGGTAACTTGTCATAAATAAATTAAAAGGGGATATCGTGTTTCAAGGGCACACCATATAAAGGGTTTCTAGACTACGATCTCCCCAGTGAATTGTATTATGCATTTTTAATAGTTCTAATCAAACAAAACCAATAGTTCCATTATATCTTTTGAATACACCTTTTAATTTATACGCAGTTGTAAAGGGTTCCTCTGTGATAAATCTGTTGCCCACAATAACAATCTGTCAAAAATAATAGTAGGTCCGGATTAATAATCTGTCAAATATACAATTGCGCAAATGTCGTTTACGTGGGCTGCAGCACGAAACAAAACAATGTCCTTGAAGCTGTACAGAGGAGGGCGACTAAGGTCATATCATATATGCCGCCGTAAAACTCTTTAGACAGATGCTCCAGGACAACCACCCCCTACATGACCATGTCCCTGTCTCTAGAGCTAATGCTACTGGACTCTTTCTTATAAACAAAAACACCATCTCCATCCCCCCAGCCAGAACAAAAAGACTCCAGAACTCATTCCTACATCAGTCCATCAGACTCTATTCGAAACTCTTTACACAAATGCTACAGGAGGACCACCCCCTACATGACCTTGTCCCTGTCTCTAAAGCTAATGCTACTGGACGCTCTCTTAGAAACAAAAACACCATCTCCACCCTTCAAGTCAGAACAAAAAGACTTCAGAACTCGTTCCTACATTAGTCTATCATACTATACATTCAGACTGTATAAACTTGTCATACCTGGGATGTACTGATCTTATAAGTATTGTCTATATTTATGTATATAATAATGTTATGTTTTTATTTTAATGTAATGCTGTAAACACCAATGCCATTCAGGCAACATTATAGTTATATTTTGTATGTGTGCAATGTTGGTATGGATATGAAAAATTTGAATGCCAACAGTTTCCAAACAACCACCCTCCAATGCAGACAGGAAACAACAACGAATACTCTCTTCAAGCAAATGCGAGAAACCTTGGGCATTCCTTGGTTACATGTGATAGCAAGCAGAGTACACGGCGGTCCCTAAGAAGCCAACCGAAATTTAGAACTGACTCTTTCAGGCAATAAGCCTCAGCAACCAGGATCTGTAAATAGTCTGTCTCTATTTTAAAGAACCCACCAATCAATATCTGTGACATTTTTAACACCAACAGTCAATGCCGTTTTTTCGATGTGTATATCAAATGTTTTCAATATTTGACAACACCCACAAATACTAGTAACTTTATGTAATACGGTCTAAGTCGCTCTGCACTTAACTTGTGTTCTCAACACTTTGTGTAATTCAGCCAACTTGGCTACCAAATCAATGTGAATAAAATAGTATTCTTTTAAACAAGTAGGTATAGGAGTCGCACGTAAAACCGGACGAGCTTTGAACAAGCTCTAGTAATATTTTTTTCTGTTCTGTATTAAAACTATTTTACCAGTTCAGCGGCAAAACTGAAAAATGTGCACTTAAAAAAAATTAATATGGTACACGTGCAGATACACCGTATCAGCCCTAGATATATCTATCTCGAGGATATATGTTTCCGACTGATTGATCTGATTTGAACCTCAGTTTATCTACTAGTATTTCTTCACAACCGTTAAAATAACAGTGCAGCCAAACAGTTTAATTGTGGTCATTTTTATTTGCTTCCCATCCTGACATTGCAGTTATAACAACTATATTTAAGCCACTGTACATTGAATGACTGACTGCACCACATAGATAAAACATATGCACAGCAAGGAACCTAATTAATCCCAAAATCTGAGTGCATCAAATTTTGACTGAACTACAAGAACTGTGTGCAGTCGTCCTAAGAATTCAAAGGACCGACTGTCTATGTCACGTGACCTTACTCGTCAGCAATTGGTCGAAAGTGCCAAAAAGTCTATATCGCCCGCCGAGTAATGGATGTTGCGATCTAATGAACATGACCTTGTTGATTTTTCTTACCAAGCAAGGCCATGTTGATTTGATTATATGGATGGCATCCACGCGTGCTTGATTTTTCGGCCGTTCCCAAATATAAAAAGGAGTTTCCAACCATATTATAAATCGTACAAAGCAGAATTTTTGAAGAGTGGTATTCACCATACCTTATCCATAATGAAACCAAATATTTTTGCAAAACCGTTTTTTATTCGCACGCTCGCGTGAGTTTTGGGGTCCCCAGAGGATGCCATGCATATAATCAAGAAGTTTCCAATCATATTATAAATCGTACAAAGCAGAGTTTTTAAGAGTACTTTATTCCCCACACCATATCCATAATGAAACCAACTTTTTTGCAAAACTTTTTTATTCGCACGTTCGCGTGAGTTTTAGGGGCCCCAGAGGATGCCAAGCATATAATCAAATCAGCATGGCCTAACCATGAAGCACATTCTTGTATAGGCTATTAAAATACAAATGGCGTGTGTGCATGTTGCTGAATCATCCAACAACTTGGGATTGATTCGTTTTCACAAAAGCTTCGTTTTGCTTTCTAACCACGTTTCTGCATGCTCTTGCCCATTTCTCTTCCTCCCAATACTGCAGTTCGTTACAAAATGTTGAATCTATCATAAATTCCTGGGTCCATTTGCCGGCAGGAAAGACCCTTGCCCTGTTAGTTGAGTCACAATGTTCGTTCACCTCATGGTTCAGAGTCTTGTAATACGCCACCTCTTCCCAAAAGTCCGGTCCTTCCGCAGCCACAAGTTGCCAAAACGTGTTATTAAAGTAGTCATACATCATATAATCTATGTTGCTCATTTTTCTGTGGGTGTCTTTCTGTTTGTCGGTCAGTGGGGCATGTTCTTTGAGTTGTTTTACAGAATTTAGATGGTGGAGCTTCTTTGTCGAGTGAAGTATGTCGAACATGGTCCAGCAAAACTTCCTTCTCAGCAGTACCAGTGACTCCTCCCAGTACTCTGTTATCAGGACAATCGAATACCAACCTGCAACGGTCCTGTAACGAAAAAAAAAAAAACTTCAACTAGAAAAGTAACATTTGCAAAGCAAATGCATAATGTTTACCTTCTCATATGGTCTGCTCTGTTAATTCTTACTCAAACACATCCACATATATGGGGAAAGGCGTCTAAATCCCTCCTATTATGAAATTGCAACATGATCACATCAGTAACCATGGTGACAGACGTAAACACACAAATCAACATTACCAATTAAAAAAAAAGTAGAAATTAAGGATCTAGGTGACACTGTTTGGATAGTAGCTTCCTTGAACCTAGGTAGATTGCAGTGTCTTATCATGGGGTTGTAGATCGTTCTAAAGCAAGATACAGAACGGAACATTTCATTTTTTTATATTCCAACATGTAATCACCAGACGTGGTAACGGCACACTCAAGTTTTATCAACTTATATTAATGCCGCCAACAACACAGGGGACAAATATATGACAGGACAATACTCATTTTTACCTGAGCGAAGTGAGGAAAGTCGTGTAAAGTGCCTTTCCCAAGGGCACAAGATCGGTGGCATGTTAGGATTCGAACTCGGGACCTCTAGGTTCCGAGTCGAGCACTCTGCCGCTACGCCACACGACCCCACACATTTCATTGTGGCAAAGGAAAGAGGTTAAGAAGAAAATTAGAAAAACACGTTAATTTAAACTGTAAAACCAACCTTAGTGCCTCGTAGTGCTGACTTGTATTTCTGCTTGCCATAAGTTTCGTTGGGAAACCCAAGGTGTGCGCTTGAAAATTGTGATACTTTGAATATGAAGACTTCTTGCCAAGCTCGAAATTCTCACTCATATTTAGAAATGCCCCCAGTGGATTACTGTGGTTACGTAATCGGCGTTGTTGCCAAAAGAAAATCGAGCGAAAATGTTTCAGGGGCTCGCGAATGATGCCGATGTATTTGGTTCCCGGTTCCATGATTCCGTCCATGGCAGTCTTGTTCATTATCGAGTGGTGTATGAGTAGGGTGTATTTCCTTCCAAAGGCTGGGTTGCAGTCTTTCCTGGTCAATTTCCCACTGTAAGGTAACACAAACACTTTTCTACATGTATATTTAGTAAAGTTATCATGAAAGATCATCTGTGTCGGTAGAAACATGTTTAAAGTTAAAACTTTTGGTCCAACACAGAAAATGTTCTCACCTAAACCTTTCGACCAGTCACTCTGGTCTTCCTCAGTAGACTGACCCAGTGAGGCTTGTCACGTGGCTTCATTCAGTCGTTACACTTC